GGGCAGGGGGGACAGGCGTATGTGACACGGGGCCGAGCGCACTTGTCCCTGGAGGGCGCGGGGCCTGGGCCTGCAGGAGCCGTGTGATGGTGCGGCTTCCGGGTGCTTCCGGCCCTGACAAGGTCGGTGCCGACAGGCCGCTCAGTCTTGGGGGAGGGAGCGAGGACAAGCCACAACGAAGGAAGACACGGTCCCCTCCGGTCTGACCCTGTGATTGAAAAGTCCTACGGAGAATGGCCGCACCCCCTGGAGAGGGAGCGTCGCAAGTCTCACGGGCCCGGAAGCCCGGCTGCACGAGACTCGGGAACAGGTGGACCAGGAGTGGCTGAGCAGCCGCTGGGGCAGGGCGCTCGCTGTGGGGACGGGGGCTCCCCCGGGGGGTACTCCTGCGGCTGCCGGCCCGGGGAGAGGCTGGGTGCCCTGCGTGGTGCCGGCGCCCTGGGCCTTTCCAGAGGGAGAGAGCGCCGCGCAGCCGGACGGAGCCCCGGGAGGAGAGAGGTGGCAAGTGTGTCTGTCAGTGTCTGCTCAGCCGGATGCTCAGGGCGTGACATCCTGACCGGACATGAGCCGGGCCCAGAACGCGGCCCTGGTGCCCTCGCCAGGTGTCCGGCACACACGCACCAGCCCGTGGGGGCGCTCCGACAGCGGGACGCCTCCTCTGTGCCCGCAAGGGCTTGCACCCCCAGGATGCAAGCGACGGGGCTTATTTCCCCAACATACCGCAAACCGGCCCCGGTGTCACCGAGGACCGCTTGCGGCCCCGCCCACTCCCGCTGCAGCGGACACAGGGACGGAAGTCGTGACTCAGGCCTGTGACAGGGAAGGAGGGCACGGCCATCTGTGAACGCTCAGGGACAGCAAGAAGCCAGACGCTCGCGGGGGTCACTGAACGACACGCTGAGGGGAAGGGCCCTCAAGAGGATATGAACCACGGCCCCCCTGGCTCCGCGGGGCCCGGCCTGGGCAGCAGTGCCTTCCCAGAAGTGTCCTCTGGGCTCTCTGTGTCCTGGACAGCCTGGGGCCGTGTTCTGTGTTCTGTGGGCTCCACACTAGTTTATATGGACAACGGGCTGCATGCAGAAGAGGGTCCGGCCCGGAGGTGGGGGCTGTCCAGCTGTGGGGCCGCTGTCCTGCCAGGGAGGTGGGGACGGGGCTGCCTCTAGCCTGCCCTCCAGCCCTGGAACCCGCGAGCCTGCCCAGCGGGTGCCTGCCCACACTGCCACGCGGCGCCTTGGGCGGCAGAGGCTCTGGTGCCTCCCGAGTCTGGCCCTCGAGGAGGCGGGCCTGTGCCCGCAGGGGCGGCCAGGACTCTGGCCGGAGAAGAGACCAGGCCAGGGCGCTGCAGACGCAACGCCTGTGTGGGCCAGCCGCCCTCCGCCTTGGTGGGACCATAGGCCCGATGACGTCCCCGTGACAGCTCTCCTCCTGCCTCCGCGCAGGTTCAACAGGGACATCGAGTTCATGATTGGCCACAAGCCCAACATCTTCTGGCAAGTCACGTGGAGAGTGGTCAGCCCGCTGCTCATGCTGGTCATCTTCCTCTTCTTCTTCGTGGTCAAGGTCAACGAGGAGCTGATCTACAGTGTCTGGGACCCCGCCTACGTGAGTCGAGGAGCTTCTGGGGGGGACGGCGGGGGTCTTGCTCCCTATGAGGTTGGGAGCCCGGAGTGTCCCTCCCTCCCCTACGAGGGCCGAGGGCCAGGTGGGGACCTGGGGGGGGACGCGCGTCTGCTGGCCGCTCAACACCACCCCCGCCCCCTGCTCTCTCCCCAGGAGGAATTTCCTAAATCCCAGAAGGTGGCATACCCGGGCTGGGTGTATGCCGTGGTGGTGATCGTGGCCGGGGTGCCCTGCCTGGTCATCCCCGGCTTCGCCATCTACAAGCTCATCAGGAACTACTGTCAGAGACGGGGAGACCGCCAGGCGCTGGTCAGTGGGCCGTCCACGACCTCTGTCAACGGGGACCTGAAGTGCTAACCTACTAACCAGCCTGGCCCCGGGGCGTGTGGCCATCGGGGGGGGCTCTGGGCCACACACTTGTGTGCGTGTGCGTGTGTACACCTGTGGGTCTGTATGTGTGCACAGGTGAGTGTATGTGCATGCTGTGTGTACAAGTGTGAGTGTGTGCATGTGTGTGCACACAGGTGCGAGCACACACATGTGCATGTGTACATATGTGAGAAAGTGGGTGTGAGCACGCCTGTATGTACACATGTCAAAGCATGTGCGGATATATGTGCATGAGTACATGGTAGGCATGCATATACATGTGCTGTGCGCACAAGTGTAAATACATGCCAGTGTGCACACACGTGTTTGTGTGCACACACCCCTGCACACGCTCCAGGGACAGTCAGCTGGGGCGGGGGGGGCGGGGGGCCGCGTCTGTGCTACTTGCCTGGCGGGAGACGGGATCCCCGTGCCCCTCAGGACTGGCCCGTTGCCGCCCGCCTTCACCTTGCTGTCGACCCTTGACCTGGGAGGTCCTGGTGAGGTCGGGACACAGGGGGCCCCGCCTGAGGACGGCCCTGCTCAGGCCTCTGGGCCGTGAGCTTGAGGGGGCTCTGCCGGGTTTTTTGGAGGCTTGGCCATTGCCCGCCTCCCGGGTGTCAAATCGTCGCTTCTGCCGCCGCAGGGAGCTGAGCAGTTAGACGGCCCGGCTGGGCCCGGCTCGAGCCAGAAGCACCCTTAGTGTTTCCCTCCAAGGAGCTGAACGCACGAATGCTTAGCCTGGCGCTGGAAAGGGCCGGTTATACGGTAACTCGGCCGCGGCTGCCACCGCCAAGGACAGTCCGTGGTCCCGAGCACGGGAAGGCCCAGGAAGTCTCACCACTTGGTGACACTCAGTGAAGTCGGGGGCTGACTCTTCCCTCTCATCTGGGAAGGTGGTTTTCTGCGATTCGACAGTCAATCTCAGACAGTCACTGGGCACCTGGGGTGGTTTCTTTAATGGGCTGGTCGCCTCTACCCTCCACAGAAAAAATCTGGAGTCTTAAGTTAAACTGGACTTTCTGAGAATCCCCTGGGCAGGGGTGGGGACCCCCCTCGGACGCCCCGGTGCCCAGTCCCTGTCCCCATGCCTCCCGTCCAGCGGCGGCCACCGAGTTGAGCCCTGCAATGCTCACTGTGAACTTCAAGCACCGGGGCACGTCCAGGCCTCTGCCGTCACCTGCGGAAACCTCAGGGGCAGTGTGGGCGGCGGGCTCACAGCCCTCCATGCTGGGCCTGCCCGGGGCGCCCCGTCCCACACCGCTCCGGTCTCCGCCCTCCCCTCCGCCCCTCCCCAAAGCCTTCCCAACCCCCTGTGAGAACGTGGAGCAGTACCCGTCCGTGCGCCACCCCCGGGGCGTGGAGAAGACCCTGGGGGCTATGACCTGGGGGCCCACCCGGTTATCTCACCCCCCGACCAGCGCCTTGTTCACAGATGTGGTGTATTTGCAAGTTGTTGGAGATGCAGGTTCCATGGGCATAACGTACACCGGCCTAAATAAATCGCCATTTCATGTTCTCGGCCTAAATGTTGTCTGGATGTAGAGGGATGAGCAGAGAGCAGAGCCTCAGTCACTCAGGGCTCCATGGACTGTGGTTCTGTTTGGGGGGTTTTCTCTGAAGAAGTCGTGATGCCACGTCGCTGTGTCCACGGAGCCTGGGGCGTGGTGAGAGGCCCTGTGAAGGACAAGCTGTGCTGGCCTTGGGCTCCGGGCCACGGCGCCCTGGTGAGGGAGGTCAGGTGGCTGGGGCTACACCCTCCCCTCCAGAGAGGAGTCGCCGGAAGTGTGTCCACCACGGCCTATGCCTCTGGGTCCCACATATTTGGGACTGTGTGAGATGGGTCTGGGAAAGTGGGGATTTCAAATCCGGGCCCCTCGCCTGTTCTGGAGACATCACCTGGGCACCCGTGAGTCCAGAGGCCTCAGCGGGTGGCCGAGGCTGAGTACTGCATCAGCCCAGTGCCTCCCCTCCCCCCTCCCCGTCCCACCGCACGGAGCCCCCAGCCTGGCTGAGCCCACTCCTCCCCCGTGGCTGTGGCATCCCACCTGCTGCCTGAGGTGCCAGTGGGCGCCGGGGAGCAAGAGAGGCCCCTCCCACTCCTGGCCCTGACCCCTGACCCTTGCGCCCCTCGGGGAGCCCCTCCAGGACACGGATGGTGGGTGCTGGGGAAGGTACGCAGGGGTGAGGTGGGCCTGCAGCTTGAGTGCTCGTCCCCAGAAGAGGGACACGTGCCACCAGCCAGAAGTTTACACTCAATCTCCGAAAGATGAATGTGGCTTAAAAATGACAGGACACCGCATGCCACCTGTCCCCTCCCTGGGCGTCTGTCCCGCATCTGCACAAAGACACATCTGCCAGCCTGCTCTTCCGCGCGGTGAACGCACCGTGCACCTCCAGGGCCACAGCGGCGCCCCCGATGGACGGCCCGAGGACGCAGGCCGGCGGCGTAGGCCCGTCCCCAGCTCACACATGGGGGACGCCGCTCATATAACATTCTCGAGGTGACAAAGCAGTGGCAGAGGAGGAGAGGTGGGGACGGGAGGGACCCTCCCTGTGGCGGGCGCGTGCTGAGCTGACCGGTCAGCGCCCCGCTGTGACGTGGACAAGGCGTCTGCGGGAGGCCGCCATGGGGCGACTGTGAGGGCGCAGGGGCCCCGGCTCCGCACTGCTCACGGCCACCCGGGAGGCTATGCCTGTCTCGCCATCAGGTGATGAGAAAGTCGATGACTTCCACAAAACCACCAGGTGGGCCCCAGTCCTGGGAGCCCTGGAGCGTCCCCCACGGGGAGCGGGGCGGTGGCGCCCGGCCGGGCGGGCCGTCTGCCCGGGCCGGGAGCAGAGGGCTGGGCCAGAGGCGGTGGGGTTAGCCAGCGGCGCCCCAGTTAGAGCCGGAGCCTGGCCTGAGTTACCAATTAACTGGCTCCACTGGTTTTGCTTTAAATAACGACAACGTCCCCGGCGGGGTCCATGCGGGCTACGGGGAGCCGAGGCGGGAGCGAGGGGCGGGCATGGCGTGCGCCCTGGGACCAGACCCGCGGGGGGCCGGCGGCGGCGACGACGAGAGGCCCAGCTGGGACAACAGGCTGCAGTATCTCCTGAGCTGCATCGGGTTTGCCGTGGGCCTGGGCAACATTTGGAGGTTCCCGTACCTGTGCCAGACCTACGGGGGAGGTGAGCCGGCACCGGCCCTGGGGGGCCCGACTCTCCACCACCCAGGGCATCAGGTGGCCCTTGAGGGCCGGTCCGAGGGCATCCCCGCCTTCCACGGGGAGCTGTCCGCACACTGTCCTCCCCGGGGCCCCCTCTGCAGGGCACACGCGGGCCAGGCCGTCCTCTGCCCTTCACAAGTCCCAGGTGGCGTCAGGCAACCCGGCCCTGCCTGTCACCCACGGCCCTCAGGAGCTGACGCGGAACGTCACCCGGGCCAGCCTGGTCCTTTCCTGGGGTCTGAACTCGGGCCCCATCTGGTCTCAGTGTCAGGTCAACTTGCCCTCAAGCCTTCTGCACCTGTAAGACCCGAGGGCCCCGAAAGTGCCACAGGGTAATCTTCCTGGTCCACCAGGCCCCGGCTGGCAATGTGAGGGGGGCGTCTCCTTCCGGGGACATTACTCGGCCCCCCCGGAAGAAATGAAAGTCTGCATGGTGAGCCCCACGCCGCCTTTTCCGAAGGGGGTCATCCTTCCCGCTTTCCAGGGCTCACATCGGCCCTCCTGGCAGTGTGCACGGACAGGGGTCAGGCCGTGCTGGGGAATGTTGGGGGGGGTCCTCTGGGAGCCACGTGGCCCATGAGAATGCTGCTTCTGGAAAGTTGATTACTTTTGCTCTGCTTATAAGGAGCTGAAGGGGGCACCTGGCCACAGGGGTTGGAGCTTCGGAGGGGGTTTGGGGCCGGGCGAGCGCCCAGACGGCGCAGCTCACGCCACAGCGCGGGGCAGAAGGCCCGGCTTGGTCCCTAGGCCCCTGGCTGCCCTGTGGGTCGGGCGTGAAGCAGTGGCCCGCGTACTGGGTGGCTCCAGGCAGCGCAGACCGGGCCCGGGAGCCGTGGCTCTGCACTGAGAGGTGCCGGGATGCACCTTCCGGAACCCTCACTGCTGCAGGCCACGCAGCGGGGCCGCCTCCTCGAGGGCTCAGGGTGGCTGAGTCCCCAGTTCCCGGGCTGAAGGGGCGCCCTGTGTGTAAATGCTTCTTTTAGGCCCTGTTTCCAGATGTGAAAGCACTGGGTGAAATGTCAGGAAATACTCAAGTTTCAAAACTCCCACTTTTCCTGAACGAGTAACCCCCACATGTGATGACGCCGTTTGTCGCTCCCACTTGACCACCACCGACTACTTTGGTGGGAAGATGCAGGTGACGAGCAGAGAACGGACCCCGTACCCCTTTCTCACGCCGGCTTCTGTGTCGCCTGTTCATTCTCCATGTGGACTTTACAGCCGGTTTGTCAGCGTCCGCGAGACTGTCAGGGCTCCACGGGCCTGGTGGGGCCTGGGCCGCGTGGGGGAGTCCCCGCTTGGCGACGGCGAGTCACCCCTCCACACAGCACGCCCTCTCCCCCGCCGCCCGTCCTGAGCTGCTGCCGACTCAGCGGCGCGGGCTCGGCAGGAGCCCTGAACACACACGCCTTCTCCTTCTCCACTTTCTGAGCGGATGGGACGGGTGCACCCCCCTCCCCCGCAAACCCTCACGCTGGCGACGCGAAGGGTGTCGCAGGCCCGCCCCGTGGGCACATACGTGCGGTCTCAGCGCCCGCAGAGACGGGCTGGGGCGGGCGGACAAGGAGAAATGCCCGCCTCTCGCACTCCGACAGCATTCTCCCAATCGCAGCAGAATTTAACCCATTCCTGCCGGCATCATCCCTGAACGGAGCGCAGACCCCTCAGGTTAAGGGCTCGCTCCCAGCACGGCCCCAGCTCAGAATCCGATCTCAAGCGGTGGGTCCTCGGCTGACACACAGCTTTTATCTGACTTTGCTACAAACAGGCGCGCCCGACCCCACGTCAGGGTCACAGGGCTGGGGAAAGCAGTTGGTACCATTTACTATCCCAGGTTTTTATAAGGAGCACAGCTCAGAACAGCCAGACGGGAGGCGTGCACGGGGCAGGCGTGGGGGCGCCGGAGCTCGAGGCAGCCGGCCCGGAAGCTCTCCAAGCCGTGCGGCTGGGGGTTCGCGGACGTTCCGCTCCGGAGCACGGCCCACAGGCCGAATCTCCCGCCGGGGCCAGGCCCTCTGCCCGGATGGGAGCAGGGGCCACACGCAGCCCACGGCCGGAGCGACGGGTCCCAGCTCCCCACCCCCCAGGAGCACAGACCAGCTCCTCGTGGCAGGAGGGCCCGTAAGCGGGGTTCGGGGCGTCCCTGTAGGGACCAGACTGCCCTTTGTGACAGGAAACCGGCCACCACGGCCAGAGTCACAAGGCGGGGCGCTGCTGAGCGATTTGAAGCAGCAGCAAACGAGGGGCCGGGCGCGCAGGCCCGCGTCCCTCCAGGAGGCGCCGCCGGGCAGATGGTGACGCGCCGCTGCCCGCCGTGTCTCTGCAGGCGCCTTCCTCGTCCCCTACCTCATCGCCCTGGTCCTCGAGGGGATCCCGCTCTTCCACATCGAGCTGGCCGTCGGCCAGCGCCTGCGCAGAGGCAGCGTCGGGGTGTGGAAGGCCGTCTCGCCCTACCTGGGCGGAGTGGGTAGGCTGCCCCGGCCCCGGCCCGGAGCCGTGGGGGGCGGGGGGGCAGGGCCCCCGAGCTCTGTGTCAGCTCGTCACGTCAGGCCACACTTGGTGGCCTTGAACCTGCACAAAAGGTGCCCTGACACGACACGCGTATGACGCGACAGAGGCAGGGCGCGTGCCTGACGTGACGGGGCAGGACTCACCCGTGGGAGCCAACTCCGGCCATGGTCCGAGGACACACGTCCCGGGAGGCCATTTTGTTCCCCCGAAGCCCAGGCAGGGACCTGGGCGCGGGGCGCTGTGTGGGGTGAGCCCAGCGAGCGCGAGGCGGCGGCCGAAGGCCTGGCCTGCCCCACGGGCGCTGGGCCCACACGTCCTGGGCGCTTGGCGTGTCCAGGGAGGCCCCGGGCAGGGGGAAGGCCTGGGCCGGGAGTGCCCGTGAGGTGGGCGCTGCAGGGAGGGGGCCGAGCGGCATCTCTGGGTGTGTGACACGACCCCCAAGGTGGCCACAGTACTGCCTGAAGGCCTCGCCCGGAGGCCAGCGGAGAGGCAGACAGCAGTGCAGCCAAGGGTGGTGCCACGTGGCCGTGAAAACGGTGTGTGGCCCCTGAGTGGCAGGGCAGCGGCGGGGCGGGCAGCGGGAGGCCTGGGGGGCGGGAGCAGGGGCGGGGCGGTTGGGGACAGGCGAGGCGCTGACGGCCGCGGGTCCGCAGGGCTGGGCTGCCTCACCGTGTCCTTCCTGGTCAGCTTGTACTACAACACCGTCCTGACGTGGGTGCTGTGGTACTTCCTCAACTCCTTCCAGAACCCACTGCCCTGGGGCTCCTGCCCGCTGGACCTCAACCGCACAGGTAGTGCTGAGGGCCGGGAGGCTCAGTGTCCCCCTCCCCCGGGCCCACACTGGCTCCCCTAGGCGCCACGTTTGAAATCCCGTTCTCACCCCACCTCATCTGACCCCTGATGGACCCGGGCCCCAGAGACCCGTGTATTCACGGCACAGCCGCGTGCTTTCCAGTGACGAGAGGGCGAGCGGGCGGGACGTCGGCTCTTGCTGACTTCCGTCCAGACCCAGCCGCGTGCTCCATCGGGGGGCCCTGCCGAAGCACAGAACCGTCACTGGTTTCCAGTTCGCTCGCCCCGCTGTGTTAACCCCCTTCCCCTCCTGCCTCTGCTGACGCTAACTCGGGTTCGGCACGTTCTGAATGAGGCCAGCCTGGGGGGGACGAGTCTGGGCCCTGAAGCTCCCCGAGTCAGCCCTCTCGGCCCCGGCTGGACACCCCGAGCAGCCCAGGGCCCGGGTCCTGCCTGCCGTGCCTGGCGCTCGGCCGGCGGCCCCAGGACAGGTTATCCGGAAGCCGCACTCCTGGGCGGAGGCCTGTGGAGCCTGAATCCAGGCCCGAGCCCTGTGGCCAGCCCCTGACAGGCCCCTCCGGGTTCCAGGGTTCGAGGCAGAGTGCCAGGCCAGCAGCACCGTGAGCTACTTCTGGTACCGGCAGACGCTGAACATCACGGCCGACATCAGCGACAGCGGCTCCGTCCAGTGGCGGCTGCTGGCCTGTCTGGCCGTGTCCTGGGCAGTCGTGTACCTGTGTGTCATCAGAGGCATCGAATCCACGGGGAAGGTGAGCCCCTCGGGCAGACCCCACTGCCCGGCTCCCTTCAGCTCTGTGTTTGTGCCCAGGCTCAGAGGCCCCGCTGGGAGGGTGCAGGGGTGAGGAGGGTGCCGCTCCGCTAACATGGCAGGCTTTTTCCTGTCTTTTCCTTCTAACCTGTTTGGGTCTGTGTTTAAAGTGTGTTTCTTGCCCACACACACAGTTTGGGTCTTGCTTTCTATCCAGGATGGCAGTCCTTGCCCTTGTTTGGCTGTTTAGACCATTTACGTTTAGTGTGACCGTGAATCCGGCTCAGTCCGCCATCTGTTTTTGTCTCCCACTGGCCCCTCTGTTCTCCATCCTGCTTCTCCCGTTCCCTGGGTACTTCTTGTGACGCCGTCTGTGTCCTGTGCCAGCTTCTCAGCGGTGACTGTTTAGCCTCAGGGGTGGGTTAGGGGCTCGGCCATCTGTCCCCTGGGGGCGCTGCTGCCCACCGAGCGAGGCAGGGGGCCCTGCCCTGCTCCACCTTCCGGCGGCTGGCACACACCTCACACACACTGTGCTGTGGCAGCAGGTGCGTGGCTGGCACGCTTGTTTTCAGCAGCTTACTATCTTGTAGCCAGTGGCTCGCATGGTTTCTGAGCAGACAGGACCCAGGAGGCCTGGGCCCGGGCTCACAAGCCCACCTCGGGCGTGCGCCCTCTCTTCTCCGGGGCGAGGACAGGTCCAGCGCTTCACGCACCCTCCCTTACACCTGCGACGCGGCTCCCGACACACAGCTGTGCCCTTTCACACGGACCCCGGTGTGTGCACGTGCCCGCACTCCCTCCGCCGCCTCACGTGTCTTCGTGACGCACAGGACCAGGATGACTGAATCAGACCAAACCAACCATTAGGCCCAACAAGCCAGCCAGAAATTCCAAACAGCCCCGTGGCGGACGCCCCTAGAGAGGCACCCGGGTGACTCCGCAGTCAGGCTGTGCTCAGGGACTTGGGGGCGCTGGGGAGGGGAGAGTGTCGTCTGCGGATTCCCTTTGTGCAGACCCCTGACCGCAGCGGCCGGGGCACCGGTCCCAGGCTGGAGAGGGGGGTGGGTGGCATGTGCAAAGCAGCCACTTGTGGGCACCAGGTGGGGAGGAGGGAGGCCCACCTGCCCCGTGGGGACCGAGCCCACCCACAGACATAAGTGCATACGTGAACCCACGTGTGACAGTCCCCATGGGCCCCAGTCCACCCCACCCCGGCCAGAATCCCAGATGAGTGCCAGGAGCTTGGCCGCTGAGGCGTGAATGGCACATCTGCCCCTTAGAGATTTCATGTGATCAGACACCATCGCAGAGTCTAACAATTTGGTCTTTTTTTAAAGGCAATTTACTTCACAGCCCTGTTCCCTTACCTGGTCCTGACAGTCTTCCTCATCAGAGGGCTCACCCTGCCCGGGGCAGTCGGAGGGCTAACCTACTTGTTCACTCCTGATGTAAGTTGGTCTGAATTGAAGCCTGGGCTCCTGGGAACCCAGGAGTCCGAGCCCAGCCCAGCCCAGCCCGCCCCATCTCCTGGCCGTGGAATGGCCACGAGCCACAGGCCAGGGCACCCAGGGCCGTGTGGGGGTGAGGGCAAGGAGGGGGTGCTACGGGGTCTCAGGGAGGAGGGCGGGGTCAGGGTGCATGGAGCGGGAGGACTTGGCTTGCGACACGTGGACTTTGGTGCCCGAGGACGTTGCGGGCGGGGTTCAGAGGAGAAGCCAGCCGGGGCCCTGGACGTCCCACCCCTAGGGCCCCAGACCCCACGCCTCTAAGGGCTTTGCCAGCGGTGCGCACCCCACCAGGTGAGAGCCACAGGACCCACGCGCCTGCCCCCGCAGCCGCACCCCTCCTAGACCCCTCCGCGCTCCCCGGGCCCCCTGCGTCCCCTGGGGGCGTCCAGGGGCTGCACAGGGCGTCCGTCGCGCGCAGCAGAAACGCCAGGCACCGCGAGCACAAGGAACTGCCCGGCACCTGCAGGTTGCTCAGAACCAGCAGGAGCAGAGGACGCTCCGACCTCTCCTGGCCCCGGGGCCGTGTGTCCACGGGGACGGGCGCCGCGGTCTGTTAACCACGTTCCGTTTGGGGCATCCCGGAGCCGCGGGCTCGCTGGTCGGCGCGGTCTGTCTGCCGCACAAGGGGGTCTCCCCTGTCATCCAGGTGCAGGTTCTCCGGAGCCCCCGGGTGTGGCTGGACGCGGCCACGCAGATCTTCTTCTCCCTGTCCCTGGCCTTCGGAGGACACATCGCTTTTGCAAGTTACAACCCGCCCAGGTAGGGGCCGGACTCAGGGCGGGTTCCGGGCCTCCTGTCCCCAAGCCCTGGGAGCAGCAGGAAGCGACCCCCCTGGGGGAGGAAGGTGACCGGCTGGGACCTGGTACAAGGACAGACTCGTGGGGATTCCAGCAGCGCCTCAGCCGTCCCCTGAGGGCTGGCCGTTAGGGCCCCTTACGGCAGCTTCTAGCATGTTCTGGAGGAAGAGCGCCCGGATAATCAATCCCAGGAACCGACCAACAGGGACCATGGGTATCACACACGAGGCCATCAAAGTGGAAATCTAGTGTGTGTCACCCTGGTCACTAAACACAGACGCAGGGCCCCCAGCGCGCGGGGGAGACCGAGTGCTCAGGTACTAAAGCACCACCTGCTGCATCTTAAACCAGGAGGCGCTGTGACCCCCTAAGCAAACAATTCTACCGCGGGGCCCAGAAGCTCCCGCCTCAGAGGCGCAGGGCTGGGGATGCGGGCGCTGGGCCCGGGGTGTCTCGCACGACTGCCTGACAGGTGCCCTCAGCCTGCTCCCAGGGGCTTGTGCTCTCATGTGGACGCCACCTCAGCAAGGCCTCCAGGGTGCCCCATGTCGTCCTCAGCTCCTTGTGTCCAGGCCTTGGGTGCAGGGTGGGGGCTGACAGGTTTAAACCATCCAGTCCTGAGCTGGGGTGGGTGGGGGGCCTTTGGGGACGGGATCAGCGGGGAGGGGGTCGGTGGGGAGGAGGTCAGCAGAGAAGGGTCAGTGGGAGGGGGGTCAGTGGAGAGGGGTGGTCAGGGAGGAGTCAGTGGGGAGGAGTCAGTAGGGGGTTTGGGAGGGGTCAGCAGGGAGGGGGTCAGCCAGGAGGTGTGGTCAGGGAGGGGTCAGTGGAGGGGAGTCAGTGGAGGGGAGTCAGTGGGGCAGAGTGCTCAGGGAGGGGTCAGTGGGGAGGAGTCAGTGGAGGGGGAGTCAGTGGGGAGGGGTCAGTGGGGAGGCGTGGTCAGGGAGGGGTGAGTGGGAGGGAGGTCAGCGGGAGGGGACCATGGAAGGGTCGGGCCAGTGCTGAGACCGTCAGGAACGGCACCAGTGCTCAGGGTCACGGGCATGCCAGCACCGTGTGCAGGGTGGGGTGTGGCGCGTGGGGAGCGGCCCTGAGCAGTGGCGCAACCCGCGTGTGTCTGCCAGGAACAACTGTGAGAAGGACGCGGTGACCATCGCCCTGGTCAACAGCATGACCTCTCTCTATGCGTCCATCGCTGTGTTTTCCGTTTTGGGATTCAAGGCGGCCGCCGACCACGGGCGCTGCCTGGACAGGTGAGCACGGTGCCCGAGGCTCTGAGGGCGAGGTGTCCACGGAGCACGGCCTTCTGACGCTGCTCTCGGGGCCCCACGCAGCCACCCTTTATGTCCCCAGGGACTGGGGTGGAGCGTCCCCAGAAGCCTAGGCCGTGACCTGGTGCGGACGTGGGGCCTTGGGCAGATGTGGGTTAAAATGAGGTCGTGCTGAGTGAGGACCCGACCCAACGAGTGGGCTCCTCATGAGAGACAGGCAGGGGCGCGCATGTGCGCACACACGAGTACGCAGTGCACACGTGTGAGCATGCACACGTACACAGGGCACACACGCAAACACGCGTACACACAGGTGTGAGCACACGCACACATGTGAACACACAAGTGCGCGCACACACCCAGGCGGCCATGTGACGAGGGAGACAGGTTGGAGGGACGCGGCCACAAGCCCAGGGAAGCCTGGGGCCCCAGGGGCTGGAAGAGGCCGGAAGGACCCTGCCCTGGAGCCTCCGGAGAGAGCGCAGCCCCGCCCACACCCCTACCTTGGACCTCTGGCCTCAGAGCTGGGGGCGAGGAAGTGTTGCTTTGAGGCTCTCCGTCTGTGGCCATTTGCCCAGACAGCCAGGACGCCCTCGCGAGCAACTGCCGCATCGATGGCCCGGCTTGGCCAAGGCTGCTGATTCGGGCTTGCAAATAGCGGCGGCTCACCCGTCAGAACGCAGAGGGGAGCACAGGGGTGTCCAGCGGGCCCGTCAGCAGTGACACCTGTCCGCACCAGGCTGGGGCCACACCGAGGGCGGAGGGGGAGACGGAGCGGCTATGCTACGCAGCCTGAGCTCCGGCCCGGCGGGGTGCATGCACCCTGTGGAGGCTGCAGCGCCCGCGTGGTGAACAGCGTGACCCCTCCTGGGGGACGGCGGAGCAGTACTTCCAGCTGTTTCCACGGGGCACCGTGAACAAGTGTTGTCCGTGGACACTGCTCACGGCGGCGGTGACGCAGGCAGGGCTGACGAGGCGCCCCTGTGCGTCGCAGCCCGGCTGCCCGGCGCGTGGGACACCAGACAGCACTCAGGCGCAACCCTCGGGGGACGTTTTAAATGGCGCACAGAAGCGCGATCACGACAGGCCTGAGGGTGCCTGCGGACAGCGTGAGGTGCGGGCGGCCCGCAGGGCGACGCGTGCTCACCCCAGCTCCCGGGCACGCTGGACCCAGCCGCTGCCGGCCCGGAAGCAGTCCTCCCGTCAGGGTCACAGGCGCCCTGGGGCACGTAGGCAGGAAACGTCAGGACACCGCGAGCCCCTGTGCGAGCCTCCAGCCTTAAAGTCGGGGGGTCTGACAGAGACAGCAGGTGGGCGGAAAGCGGGGCCGCAGTTCTTCCGGAAACACTCCCAGGGCGCCGCCCCAGGGCGCAGGTCGAGGAGGCCGGAGGGGGGGGGGTGTCCCACAGGCCCGTCCCCTCTCCCGCAGGAGACAGCGAAGCACCCAGTGCGTGCGGCCGCCCTCCTGGGTGTCTCCGGGTGCGGGGCGCCCAGCCGAGCACGCACCGGCCCGTGTCTCCGCAGAAACATCCTCCGGCTCATCAATGCGTTCGATCTCCCGGACCAGAGCGTGTCCAGGGACGACTATGCCGCCGTCCTCACGCGCCTGAACGCCACCCAGCCTGAGAGGGTGGCCCGGCTCTGCCTGGAGACCTGCCGCCTGGAAGACTTTCTGGACAAGGTACCCAAGGGGCCGCCAACCTCCGCAGACCTGGGCCACACCGGCCCGTGGGCTGTGAATAAAGGACAAGGGGCTGACCCCGTGCCTCAGCTGGGCTCAGCTTCCAGAAAACCCGTGGCCTCAGATGCAGTGTGCCCGACGGGGGCAGCAGGCCAGGGGCCAGGCCGGCCCAGGATGCCCGCGGTCGCTGGTGCACAGAGCCCGGGTCACGGGGCGGGTGGGCCGTCAGAAGGCGGGTTCTCAGGGCAGCTCAGCCCGACACCCTGGGGCCTGCAGTCACCCGCTAGCTGCGTGATATTAAAGGGAAAAGGTGGGGCGCCTGGGGGGCTCAGTCGGTGAAGCGTCCGACTTAGGCTCAGGTCATGATCTCGCGGTTCGTGGGTTTGAGCCCCGCGTCGGGCTCTGTGCTGACTGCCAGCTCGGAGCCTGGAGCCTGTTTCAGAGTCTGTGACTCCCCCTCTCTCTGACCCTCCCCTGCTCACGCTGTCTCTCTCTCTCAAAAACAAACATTAAAAAATAATAACAATAAAGGGAAAAGGTTCCGCCCCCTCAGGGACACACCTGTGGTCAGTCGTGCGGCCAGCAAGGCAGGGTCACTGCTTTCCCTGGGGGTGCTGGGCACCTGTGTCACCACCTGGGGCTCACGGCGCACGTCACAGCGCGCCCATGTTGCAGAGCGCCGCCGGCACGGGGCTGGCCTTCATCATCTTCACGGAGGCCGTGCTGCACATGCCCGGGGCCCCTGGCTGGGCCGTGCTCTTTTTCGGGATGCTCTTCACCTTGGGCCTGTCATCCATGTTCGGGAACATGGAAAGCATCATCACGCCACTGCTGGATATGGGGCTCGCGCACAGATCCATCCCCAAGGAGGTCCTGACTGGTGAGTGGACAGGCCCGTCCCCCCCCACCCGCCCGCCCGCCTGCCGTCCAGACACCCTTCGTCCTCGAGGGCTCCGGGGCTGGGGCCCGGTCCCAGGGAAGGCCAGGTCCGGCCTCGTCACCCGCAGGGCTGGTCTCGGCGGCTCTCACCCCGACCCAACACCCCATGTGGGGCCACTCCCAGCACTGCTCGCCGCCGCCACGCTGCCATCCCGTGCGCCCTCCTGGCTCTGACCGCGGCGCAGGGCAGCGGTGGAGGGAGCCGACTAGGAGAGGGGCGGGGCCCAGGTGCCGCTCAGACCGGGGCCGCTGTCCCCCAGGGCTGGTCTGCCTGCTGTGCTTCCTCTCGGCGACCTGCTTCACGCTGCAGTCGGGAAGCTACTGGCTGGAGATTTTCGACAACTACGTGGCTCCTCTGAACCTGATGGTCTTCGCCTTCTTCGAGGTGGTCGGGGTGGCTTACGTTTATGGGATGCAGCGGTGAGTGAGAGGCCCCTTCGGGCCCCGTCCTCTGCTCCCGCGTCCCCAAGTGTACGGCGTACGGGCATCGCCGCAGCTGGTCTCCCGGGCAGCACAGGACGGGGCGGGACCCCTGAGTCCCTCCCAAACTTAGGGTGGCGCCCCGGGACCCCGCTGCACCGGGCTGCGCGGGCCTTCAGCCTGCAGGGGGAGGGGCGAGATGGCTCGTCTCCAACCACGCAGGGCAGATTCCTAAAGCCCCAGGACCAGTGGACACTGAGGAAGTGGCAGGGCCCGCCCACCCTTCCCCCATCCTCCAGGCCTCCGAGAGCGCCCGGCCCTGGCCCCGCCCATCCCCACCTGCCTCGGGCCCACTGCACACCTGGACTCCCAACTGTGCCATACCTGCCACATCTGTCGCTCACATGTGTCACACACCTGTCACTCATATCTGTCACACCTGCACTCACACCTTCACACCTGTCACCTGCACTCACACCTGCCACATCTGCACTCATATCTGCACACACACCTGTCACACCTGCTCTCAGACCTGTACTCACACCTGTCACACTTGAACTCAACTGTCAGCCACATTCACACCTTCATACCTGTCAACCTGCACTCACACCTCATACCTGTCACTGTGACTCACCTGTTGCTCACACCTATCACCTGCACTCACACCTGTCACACACCTGCACTCATATCTGCACACACACCTGTCACACCTGTGCTCATACCTGTACTCACATCTGGACTACACCTGCCACACACCTATGACACCTGCATTCATATCTGCACACACAGCTGTCTCCACATCCATCACATTTATACTCACACCTGTCACACCTGCACTCACAGCTGCCACACGTGTCACACCTGTGCTCATACCCGTATGCACACCTATACCCATATCTGTCACACTTGTACTCACCCATCACACCTGCACTCACAGCTGCCACGCACTTGTTACACCTATGCTCATACCTGTACTCACACCTGCACTCACACATGTACCCACACCTGTCACACTTGCACTCATAGCTGCACACTTGTACCCACATCTGTTACACTTGTACTCACACCTATCAGGCCCACATGTACACCTATCACACCTGTCACATGTGTACTCACACCTGTCACACCTACACGCACACCTGTCACATTTGTACTCACACCTGTCATACCTGTCAACCTGCACTCACACAGTGCTCACACCTGTCACCTGCCACATACCTGTCACACCTGCACTCACGTCTGCACACACATCTGTACTCACACCTATCACCCCTGCGCTCAGCTACTATATACCTGTCACATCTGTACTTACACCTGCGCTCACAGCTGTCGCTCACACCTGTACCCACACCTGTCACATTTGCACTCACACTGTCCACACCTGCACTCGCACCTGTCACCTGCACTCACACTTGCCACACAGCTGTCACACCTACACTCACACTTGTACTCACACTTGCCACACAGTCTCACCTGTCACAAGCCTGCCACCCCAACCATAGCCCTGCTCAGATGGTCCCAGAAGTTGTGCTCTGTCCTTGTTCCTCAAGGGGTCCTGGGGGGCCCTGTGTGCCAGAGAGTTCGCCGCCGCTCTGCAGTTACGGGGGCCAGAGGTCTCGTCCCACGGCGGGGCGCTGGCCTCCCGGAGAGGCAGGAGTGGGACAGGCCCGGCAGCGTGGGGAGACACTGGGAGCCCGGGGCACAACCGGTGGGGCGGGGGGGGGGGTCTCAGAAGGAGACACTCAGGGCCCGCTGCACGTCTTGGGTCCTCACCCCTGAGGGCCCTCCCAGCCGGGGGCGCCACCGCCCGCGCTCGCTCTCAGCAGCTGCAGCCTCCCTCGGGGGGAGTCCACAGGGCCTTCCCGGGACAACTTACCCGGGCGCAGGCGGGCCTCCTTCCGGGGGGCGGCAGAGGCTGGGAAGCCCCAGGAGCCGCACCTGCCCAGCCCTCTCCCTCGGCGGGACGACCCGATGGCCCAGGCCTTTCTCACACACGGACTGGGGGGGGAGGGTTGAGTCCTGTCAGGACCCGAGAGTGCTGCCCCACCTGGTGGCCGCTAGAAAGTTCCGAACAGCGGTGGGGGGCGGCCCCCGTGGGCGGCGTCTCAGTGACTCCGGGGAAAGGCCTCTGGCTGAGCCTGAACCCAGCATCTCTGCGGCAGGTTTGGCGATGACATAGAGTACATGACGGGGAGGCGGCCTGGCCTCTACTGGCGGCTCACCTGGAAGGTCATCAGCCCGCTGCTGCTCCTCACCATCTTCGTGGCCTATGTTGCCGTCCTGGCCTGGACACCGCTCAGCTACAGGGCCTGGGACACCCAATACGTACGTCCTCTGGGGGCCCGGCCCTTCCCCGGGGCTACCCTACGTGACCTTGCGGCCACCTTTGCTGAGACCCCAGGCCGCTGGGCCTTTGGCGTCCCGTGGGGCGTCAGAGCCGACTCTGGCAGGGGCTGTGGGCCCTGGTCGGGGGGGGGGGGGTGCAGAGCAATTCTCGAATCCCTGGAGCGGCTCACTCCTGGTCTGGGTTGAGGGAAGGTGTGTGGGGCACGTGTCACTGACCTGTCACCCAGCCAGGTGAGAACGGGACCCCAGGTCACTCCCTGGGGCCAGCCCTAGTCCCCTGGGCTGCGCTCTGAGCTGTGTGGCCCCCACTGGCCGCCACATCTGGCCCCTCAAAACCCGGTCTGTGCACAGCACCTTCTCTGCAGTGCGGAAGTGATTCCGTTCCAGGCTCTCCTTAGAAAGGGCACCGGCCCCACATTGCCAGGTGCTGCCAAAGGAGCAGGGGCACCATTTTTCTCAAGAATTTTCACCAATTTTGCCCTATCAGATTCACACACTAGTGCCTCACGTTGTCCATAGAGGAGGTGCCTGAAGTCAGGTGGGCGGTGTCACCCCCTCTTACAGAAAAGGGAGCGGGGGACGGGGCCCACAAGTCAGGCAGAGGCAGCCCTGGGGTGGAGTGTCCCCTCAGGGTGGAGGGGGGCTCTGCAGGGCACAGTGCTCCGAACCCTGGGCCTGAGTCTCAAACCCCCAATTCCCACGAGACCTCAGGGCCCCGTACTGCCCCTTCCTCCCCCCGCCGAAGACGAAGCAGGGGGAGGCCGCCCCACGTCGCTCACGGTCACTGTGGCCTCGGATCCCTCCAGGCGCAGTTCCCTTCGCGGCAAGAGAAGTCCTACCCGGGCTGGGTGCAGGCCGCCTGTGTCCTCCTGTGCTTCCTGCCTGCACTGTGGGTCCCGGCCGTGGCGCTGGCCCAGCTGCTCGCCGAGCACAGACGGAAGAAGGACAGATGTCAGGACAGGTGCCCGAAGCTGCAGGGTGGAGGGGCCTGCTGAGGGCTGGGCAGTGGGGTGGCGGGGAGGGCAGCCCGTGTGCCACGTGCTCGATGACACCTGCCCCGACCCCAAGGCCTGTGGTTGCTGCTTCCCAACACCATCGCAGTCCCCAGCCCTGCTCAGAGTACAGCCCGGCTCCATCACCACAGTCCACACTGGCCTCCAAACAGGAGAGAGCCTGGTGTCGGGCTCCTGGGGCCCTGCCCCCTGGGTGGCCAGACGCTGCGCCCGGCGAGTGCATCCATGGACAGAAGGGTGGGTGGGCCTGCGCAGCCGAGGGCCTGGTGCCCCCAGAGCTGGGGGAGCCTGAAGGGCGACCTCCAGGGAGAAGCGGAGGCTGTCCCCATGGTGAGCTGGAAGGGAAGTTCTTGCCCACAGGAGCCCCTTTCTGTGCCTGGAGCACTTGGATCGTGGGCAGGGTCTGCTGTGACTAATGTGTGGGGAACCCTTGCAGAGCGATGGTCTGGCCACTCCCGCCCCAGGAGGGGTCCTCCCTGGCGAGCACAGGCAGGGCTGGGTCTGGCTGGAGCCACAGCCAGCGCCAGTGGGTGCTGGCTGGTCTCCTGACCTTTTTTTCTAAGAAACACTATCCTTTGTTCTTTAAACATTTTCTCAGAGACTGAAATATGTGTCAAGAAATTACAGAAAGGCTGATTATCGCTCAGGCTCCTACTGTTTCCAGAGCAGGGTGCCATCACTCACTTCACACCAGGCCTCCTGCAACCTCTGTGCAGGGGCGCCTCCTCATCTTCCAGCTCCAGCATGCTCACCACCTCTGCCTTACCACCTGTGCACCCCTTCCTTCAATCTCTTCTTTCCACCCACTCATCCATCCATCCATCATCCATCCATCCATCATCCATCCATCCCCTCCCTGCCTCCCCCATCCATCCATTCACCCACCCATCCATCATCCATCCATCCATCTGCCCATGTATTCATCTGTTTCCTCCCTCCACCCTCTCCTTCCATCTGTTTCCTCCCTGCCTTCCCATCTATCCATCCATCTGTCATCCAATCATCCATCCATCCATCCGTTTCCTCCCTCTCTTCTGCCTCCATCCGTTTATCTACACATCATCCATCAATCCATCCACCCATCCATTTCCTCCCCCTTCCCCCCATCCCTCCCTCATCCATCCATCCACTCATCCATTTCCTCCTTCCTTCATCCATTTACCCATCTATCATCCATCCACCCACCCATCCATTCATCTACTCATCCATTTCCTCCCTCCCTCCCCCATCCCTTCTCCCTCTGCCCATCCATCCATCCATCCATCTCCTCTCTCTCCCTCCATTCTTATTGTTTTAATATTTACTTATTTATTTATTTTTGAGAGAGAGAGCACGTGAGCAAGGGAGGGGCGGGGGTGGGGGAGAATCCCAAGCAGGCTCCTCGCTCAGCATGGAGCCCAACGTGGAGCTCAATCCCAGGACCCTGGGGTCACGCCCTGAGCTGAGGTCCAGAACCAGATGCCTAACCAACTGAGCCACCCAGGTGCCTCCTTCCCTCCATCTTTCTATCCATCCAATCCCTCCCTCCATTTCCTTCCTCTCCCCCTCATCCCTCGCTCCCTCCTCTGACAATACTGTGAACCAGGCATCAGATCTAAGGAGCTGAGCCCCGATTCCTCACTGGCCCCCGACACGCGGCCTTGTGTCCTGCCGGCAGGACGGACGCTGTCCAGGGTGCTGAAAAGTCCCGGCAGACAGAGTACCATGGAGGGCAACGAGGAGCCCGGTCCGTGGGCACTACTGTCTGCACCCACCCCCCCCCCGCCAGGTGGAGCTGAGTCTTACAACGGAGCTAACTAAAGAGTGCCCCCCAAAATGTGCCCCATGGGTCGGGTGAGCTCTGCACTGTGGCCGCCGTGCTGCAGTCCTGGGCTTGTGTCCCCTCCCTGCCTCCCTCCACAAGCCAGCAAGGCCAGCCGGTCCTTCTCCCCTGCACGTGTCCAACAGCCTCTCCTCCCTGTGACCACCCTGGGTACACCTGGGTAATTCAGGAGGCTCTCCCCACCCTGAAGTCAACCCATAAGCTGACTTCCCCACCTGCTCACATAATTCTGCTTTGCCACATCACGTGATACGTGTAGATTCTGAGATTAGGATGTAGGGCTCTTGGGGTCACTGGTCCACCTCCGACAGTGGCTGGGCGACTCTGAGGGCACCCGGGCTTGGGGAGCCCTTACTCTACAGTGTCCTCCCCAGGTGAGCATCCACACAGCCAAGTGCCAAGCACGTACCCAGGGGCACGGCAGGTGAGGGAGGGGCAGGAACCGGGCTGAAGGGGTAACCACTCAGCACCTTGGGGGGCCTGGGGACACCGTTTATGCCTCCTCTTAAACTACTCACTTTGAACTCACCTGCTGCATACGTGTTTGCAGGATGCACGCGTGAATGAGCTTCTCTACATGCAGCTTAGATCTAAGGAAGACCAGAAAACTGGATTTTCTTCTGCCTTTACAAATCTTATTTCCACATTTCGCCTGGAGATTTGGCAGCGTACACAGTGGCTTTCGAAAGAGAAAAACCAGGAAGTTTTAGTGACTGAACCTGACGAGTACACGTTTTTCAAGGGCTTAACACTTCAAAAACAAATTTGTGATCCTGAGCAAAATGCCGACAAAACGCCTGTGCCAGAGAAGACGCGGGCAAGTGGGGGACGGATGGCAGAGCGGCTGCTGCCTTGGGTCTGGTCTGTGATGGAAACATCAGACACAGGCCCCTGGCATGTGAGCCATTGGGGACAGTGGCGGGTGTCCAGGCGCCTGGTGTGGGGTCCCGGGGGTGTCCCTGTGTTCTGTCTGCCGCCCCAGATAGGGCAGGTCCGCCCTCCTGTGTTTACGAAGCGAGGGCACAGCGGGGCCGGGGCGGTGTGCGGGTTGGGTGGGGCTTAGTCCTGCACCGCTCACCTCCGGTGCGCTGGTGACGTGCTCCCTGGACTTCGGTCGGCCATAAATGTGTCAGCTCAGTCATCTGGACGCTCTGCCTGGCAGCAGCCATAAACAAGGCAATATCCATAAACCCTGACATGAGACACGCTTGCGCCCAGACAACGTGGGCCGCATTAGCACAGACCCCGTCCCAGGTACACTTGGGGGCACCCCAGCACACCTGTCATGCGGCCCCTTCAGGGACATCGTGGAAGGAAGCCTTGGGAAGTGCCCATCTATGGTGTTCCCGTTGCTGCAGGGGTGGGGCGGAGCCAGCACCCTCGTGGGGGCCTTTCTTCACAGGCTGTGCCCAGTTTGACCTACTCTCCGTGCAATCCTTCTAGCTGCTTCCATCTGTTCAAGGATGTTGTCCAGCACCCTGCACAGCCCCACATGCACAGCACAGCCCCCACCCGGTGTCTGGAAGGGCACGAGAGTGTCTCCTGCATGTTGGCTCATCCTCAATGAACACAAAGCAGGGTATCTGAGAAAGCCTCCAGCCCCCAGGATAGCTCTTCCTTTCCTGGGGCACCTCACAGGGGCTCTGAGCCCGGGGTGGCCTATTAGGTGAGGTTAAGTGAGGGTCTGACTGGAGAGGCCAAGGGGCTGGGGAGGGGCTCCTGAACCTCCACTTTCAAACAGGCCTTTCCATGACCTCCAGTCACTTCCCCAGTGGCCTCAGCCACGTCCCCCCCCCACCACCTTGCTGTCTACACACCTCCAAACTCCTAATGCCTACTCTGCCCCTGGGGCCATTCATGACTTAAAAGACAGCCCCATCTGCCCTGTGGTGGTTCTCAGCCTGGGGTCCCCCATGGCACCACCCTCGATTGGAAATCCATTAAGGTGCAAATCCTGGGCCTTCCCTATATTTGCCAAATCAGAAAGTTGGGGTGGGGAACGCCTGTGTGCAATTCACACCCCCAGGATGCTCAGGATGACATCTGCCACCTCCCCTCCCCAGGTCACCTCTAACCCCCCTGCCCCCCCCAAAAGGTTGTCTGGGCCACCCTGCTGCTGCCCAGCTGGGCTGACCACCTCTCACCACCACTTGTTCCCACCAGAGGTGCTCCGTCTGCCCCTGAGCTGCGACCCACGACCCTGAGCAGAGGACCACACCCAAACCTGGCCCTTCCCATGGCCCCTCTGCTGTCTCCCAGCCAGGGAGGCCGGCAAGTGCATGAGTAGGGTCGCTGTGGAGCTGTCCCCCTGGGGGACCCGCTCAAGCAGCCCAGCCTGCAGGGCCTCACGGATGACGCCCGTTCCCAGGCCCTGGTGTGCTCTAGAAGGGCACCAGCACCTCAGCTGAACAGATGTGCCGGTACGTGAACGAAGGGGCCCCACAGATATCAGGACACATGAACGGGAGAGTGACGGAGGGGACAGATGGGGGCAGGCAGACAGGCACATCCACCGGCCCAGGTCCAGAACACAGGGCTGGATGTGGGGCAGTGGGCTACCACCCACCCCCCAAGCCCCTGTATCATGCCCCTGCTACCCATTCCGAGGGACCCTCCGGAAGGGGCAGATCATGTGGACACTGAAGCAACGGCCAGAGGAGAAATGTGCCTTAGGAGGGAGTCCTCCCAGGGCCCACAGCTGGCTAAAGATGGGGTGCATGCTGGGCAGAGGCCTTCCCTACCAAGCAGCACCTGCCCCAGGAGGGCGCCCTTTCCGACTCCCCATCCCCACATCCCTGCCCCAGAAGCCCCCCGGGAGCCCTGCCAGGCCAAGGACCCTGCGCATCACGCAAGGACACAAACGGGAATGGAGAACGGCACAGACAACTCACATGGTGCCGGACGCCGCGCCGTCTCCGGCAGGTCCAGGGGTCCCTGAAGGACAGACGGTGTCGGCAAGAGAATGAGTGAGAGCCCCGAGATTCTTTCTGGTCACCAGGCAGGCATCGCTGTCCTGTCGGTTTTTGTGTCTTTATTTAAAGGCTCAGCAACAAGATGAAGTCATAGAAAGGAATTTCTTACAATGGGAGGCCTTTTGTGATGTCAACTGCAGAATTATTCCGACCAAGGAAATAACAATGTTTTTAGTGAAATACAGGATAACATATAGGTCAAATTGTATATAGATAAGTTAGGAGTATTTTGTCCGGCTCTCAAGAGGATGAATGTTTCTGAATTGGTTGGTTTGTGGAGACTAACATGGGGACCCTGGATGGGTCAGTCTTTTGCCCCTGGCTTATGTTTTAGCTACTGTTATCCATCCTCATCCCAGCTGCCAGTGTAAGGGAGGGTGTTTGTGGAAAGTAGGCCTTAAGGAAGGGACTGTTGTTTCACCAATTAGCAAAGATAAAAGTGGTAACTATGTTTTGCTCTTAACCCCAAAATAGGCCCTTGGTCTCAGGGCCAGGCTCAGCTGTAATTCTTGTGTTCTTAACCCCCTCAGTCTGGGAACTGCAAGGCCCCTAGGAAGAGCCTTTTGACAATTTTCCCCATAGAGCTTTCATACAAAATTTCTTTTGTAAAGGCAGGAATATGATTTTCCTTATGAGGTATCTGTATTCAGAATATGGGTCTGATATGGAATATTGTGAGGCCTGGTCAATACCAGCAGGCTTATATCAACATGAGCCAATAGTAGCAGAAGGAGATACCAGTTTTCATTTCTCATGGGAGGAGCTGCAAACATTGCCACTTCCTTGCTGTGACTGCCATCCAAAGAGGCCGGTGCGGCTCCCGGCAACACAGCACGTGCTTTAATGCAAACATAGGAACATTAAACCTACAAGAACAAAGGCTCAGGGCGTTCTTTCTGTGGCCCCCAGAAGTCACAGGAGTGGTCACAGGAGTGGTCGCAGGTGCAGAGGTAGGAAGCCACGCGGAAGAGTGCTCCCAGGATAACCTGGGGCCACCGTGTGCTGAGCAAGGGCCAGCAGGGAAGAGTCCGGAAGTGGGGGTGGCCATGGATAGGACGTGGCAGACACTCAGGCTCCAGGAGGCCAGTGTGAGGTGAGAGGGACAGGGCGAGGTCACAGGTAGGGGTGGGGATGGGTCTCAAACAGCTGACTGGGCCCTTGGCTTCTGAGGAAAGCCCGATAAGGCATGGACTCTGGACAAAGCTGAGGGAGGGCTCCTCAGGGTAGGTGTGGGCAGTGCAGGCCCCAGGGCAGGTCAGCAGAAAGGAGCCCATGTCCAGCCGAGCACCCCACATGCCTCCTTGCACCCCCACTCCAGATGGGGGCTTCTCCGAGCAGGGGGTGGGGTGGGGGCGTGACAAAGGTCGGGACATGCTCTATGCAGCTGGCCTGACACCTCAGCCAGGCTCTCCTGCCTGCCCCCTTCTGGTGGTCAGTGACCCCAATCACTAGCTGGTGGTGGGTGGGCGCTCTCCCTGGAGGACATGGGCGCCGGCCAGGCCAGCAGTGCATGGTCATTCCGTGATGTGGAGCCACGTGGGGCCTGCCCTGGGCTGTGAGACCAGCCATCAGTCCAAGATGGTCCTGAAGTCTTCAGGCAGGCCGGGGGTGGCTGCTGCCTCCAGTGCGGCCAGGGTGGCCTGTGGGAGCTGCCCGCACAGCTGTGCTTTGGCTTCAAGGGGACAAGTGGGATCAGATTGGCCTAGAACAAACTGGTCTCCCCCCATCCCCCACCCCCTGGGGCTCGGGACTCCACTGAAGGCCAAGCAGGCAAGGCCTGTGTGCAGAGGCCGAGCTCCGGGCACCAGGAGGGGTGGGTGGGAGGGGCGTTTGGGAAAGGCTTGTTGCTGGGGTCCCCTGTGCCAGTGTTGGGGAGGGGCCTGGGGGACTCTGCCCGGGACAGGAGGTGTGGAGACAGGGAGTGACCAGTGGGTGTCTAGGCCCCGGGTGAGAAAGAGCCTGCAACCCGGGGCGCCTGCACCCCATCACCTGAGGCTGCAGACCCACCCACCACCAGTGAGGCACGGAGGAGCCCTCACTGCTGCGCAGGCACACGGGGGGCTGGGGCGTGCTGGGCCACACTCACCTGCCCGGAGTGGCCCCAGAAGACACCTGTAGGTGCCGCTGTGACGAGCCAGCTTGAGCAGGAAGGCGTGCAGGCAGAGCCACCTCGCGGCCTCAGAAGGAAACGGGCCAGAGGCGCCCTTGGCCCCCAGGGACATCCCTGGGGGGGGGGGGGACACAGGGACAGGCTAAGGCACCACCCACTCCTCTTCCCCTCCGATGCTGGCTGGGGTCCCTGCCCCCGAGCCCAGGAGCAGAGGTCACAGGCAATCTCGTCTCAAGGACAAGGACAGCACCGACACAAGCACCAAGGACCCTGACAGCTGACATCCTTCCGCTTCTCTGAAGAAACTTGCACAAAAAGGAAATAGCAAGAAACCTGGGGAGACGGCCCGGCCCAAGCCGCAGGTGGACAAGAGCCCTCTGCGAGAGGCCGTGGAGGGCGGAGAGTGGAGGAAGGCCGAGCTGCAGACGCGGAGCCCCAGGCAGAAGCCTCCCTCCCTCCCTCAGGCCCCCGACTACTCGGCTGGCAGCAGGTGCAGCGCAGGCGCTCCCAGGGCACACGGCGCTGGTACTGAAGTGGGCGGGCATCTGGGCCTTGCCAGCAGCATAGGTGACCCCTCAGAGCCCACCAGCAGCACCCAGTTCTCTGCGCACCTGAGTTCTTGGCTTTCAGGAGGGAGTAGCAGCGCAACGCGGTGTCCGAGATGACACGGAGGAAAAAGGAGGGGTTCTTCCTCACTGGCTGGTTGAACGGAAGCTGGAGCACACACGCGTGGAACCTGAGCGAGGGACACTGCTCAGCCAACGTCCCCCCGTTGGAACGCGTGTGTGCATGTGCGCGTGCGCTCGGCTTGCAGGTACACATACGGGCACGCGTGTGTGTGGATGCACGTCGTGTTTGTGGGTGCACGCACGTGCATACGGCCAACCGCATGACATGGCCTCACCAGGCGCTCACTAACCACCTAGGCCCCTTCTGGAATAACATGCATGCGCATCGCTCGACCAGTAACCTGCCCTCAAGGGCACAGTAACCGTGCTGACGTGGGAAATACTTTCCCGCCTGCAGGAACCGGCTGGCTCTGAAAGGGCACACATGTAATGTGGGGGGTCCCGGGGTCGGAGGGAAGGGAGCACGTTCCCTGAAGCCCGGCGGGGAGGGCCCTGGAGGGAGCACATTCTGCTGGGGGAGGACCCTCGCTGGAGTGGGTGCTCGGTGCAGAATGGGAAGAGGCCTCCACAGGCGGAGGCTGGTCTCCCAGCGCCTCCAGCAGGACGCCCACCCTCAGCTGCGAAAGGAGCGGAGCCTGCGGGTTCCGACTGGACAGTGCACGAGAGGGTCCTGCCCCAAGGGCCACGTGGACACACACGGCCTCGCCCCCCCCTCACCGGCCAGCCTCACACTTCCACACTCCCACCCCGGAGAGGGCGGTGTTCTCAGCATCTCCCACCTGCCGCAGCCTCCGTATGTGGAGACGGCTGGCGCTCCCGCCGGTGGCCGGAGAAGCCGGTAGCTCTTGGCGCCGCTGTCTTGGGGCCGCACACCCCCTCACGAGGAGACAGAGCCGCGAGGGTGCCTTCCCTGAACCCAGGACCCGAATACATTCCCTGGTGGGCCGGTGTCCCAGGCCTGGGCCCACGAGGAACAGGTCCACCAGCAGGGCCCCTCCTTGGAGCACGTGACCCGGCCACCAGGGGCGTGGAGCTGGCCAGGGGACTGGCCTGCCCCTGAGGAAGCACCACCGGGCTGTTCTTCCTAGAATCGGAGGGGCTGAGAATCAAGTGTGTGTCCGCCCTCCCGTCCAGCTGCGTGCAGCGCGGGGGGCACGTCCGCCCTCCCGTCCAGCTGGGTGCAGCGCAGGGGGCACGTCCATGTTCACACTGAGCATGCCGTCAGGGACGTCCAGGCAGCTCGCTCCCGAGAGCAGAGGCCCGGCGCTTGGGGAGGCAGGGAAGGGCAGCACCACAGCCGCGGGCGGGGCACAGGACAGGAGCCCTGAGGCCCTCCTGGGACACGACAGCGGACGAACACTGGGCAGACACCGCCCCCACGGCTGCCATGGGCACAGGCCCTCAGGGCCCGGAGGGGGTTCTGGCGGGAAACCCACGGTGGGAGCTTGCGCCCAGCCCTGGCCGGTTCCCACGAGACGGCATCCTCGCTCCGGGACAAGCACACGACTCTGGCTAACGCGGGCTGGGGGGCTCTACGCAGATGCGCGGCCCATCTGGCCCCACAGCTCGCGCGTCCGTCTGGCCTGACTGCAGGGGAAGGACAGCTGCTCCCCGGAGCCGGAGCAAAGCCCGGCTGTGTCCCTGAGGCCGGGGCAGGCGGTGCGACCGGCAGTGTCAACACAGCCTCAAGGGGAAAACGTCTCCCTCACGACTCAGAAAAGCACAGACACGGACAGGATCCACGACTGCCCAGCCGCATCCACATTCTCAGTGAAACGACCTGGAACCTCCCAGGGATGGAGAATGCTCCAGAAGCTCACCATCCGTGGGGCGAGAATGGCAGCTGGGCTCCTTGGGACCCACGTCCCACCACCCCTTTCTGGGGGACATCAGAGCGCCGTGGACCCTCATTTGCATCGGCACAATTCTCTCCAAGACCCGAGGCCCCTGCGAGGTCCTGGGGCAGGGCACAGGAGTGGGACACCCAGGCCACGCTGCCCACGCCTCACCGCCTGGTGACACAGGCACTTCCCACACTGGGCAGCGCACGTGCACATGCACAAGCCGTAGTGTGCGCGACTGGAAACCTGCAGATGCTGCCCCAGCCGTAAGCTGGGACCCCGGAGGGCAGGGCACTCTCCCAGGCCGAGGGGGCGCCGAGGGAAAAGGGTCTGTGGCACATGGTGGCGTGGCCGGTGAACCCACCTGTAGGCCTGCAGCAAGAATATCTTGTAAATGTTTGTATAAACCGTGTGGATGCTGTTTACCTGGGTCACAAAGAAAAATAAACATTGCAAATACATCCAGAATGTGAATTTGTTTTGCTTTATCACCAGGTCAAATGGAGGCAGGAGAAAGTGGCCCTGGTGGCCCCTCCCTGCTACTGGAGGGCAGCACAGGCACAGAGGGATGGGACGTGGGCGCCCAGCAGCTCTAGAGCCTGAGCCCCAAGGCCTCGGACCCCCACCCCACCGTGGGGAGGGATCCAGGTGCCCGGGGAGACGGGCCCAGGCGGGGCTAAGGGCGTTCACACCCACGTGTAGGCACTCACACAAACACCGTGTATTTAACACGCGTAGCTCTCAGCCGGCCGGCCTGGGCCCCGGAGCCTGCTGGCGCCCCCGGCCACGTGCTCACCTGCAGATCCAGGAACACAGCGCAGCACTTGAGCCGCAAGACTGCGAATAGCTTGCGACGCATGCTCCTCCCAGGCCTGGCGCCCTGGCTGAAGGTGAGGCTCGAGCGGATGGAGGTCTGGGCGTAACTGCGGCACAGAGTGGGAACCCCTGAAACTTGAGCCCTCCACGCACACACAAGGCACCCACGGTCAAGCATGCACTCTGATCACACGCGTGTGTCTGCCCACACCCGGCCCCACCCTGTGTGAGGCCAGGACCCTCCAGAGGGCGGAGAACAGAGCATGGAGGACCCAGGCAGGGCGGGCACCATGTACCACGCACACCTGAGTCACAGTACGGGCCATTTACATGTTTGTCACTGACACGTGGCACACAGCACCTACAAAATCTGTGTGACTCGACCAATGCGCTGACCACGCACAAACACACGCCTTCCTGGGCGAGGTCTCCACGGGCTCAGTTGGGCAGCTTGGGCCTCGAGGCCACTGTCTGGTGCATTCTGGCAGCCCTGAGGGCTTCCTGAAGGAGGAGGTCATCCCACAGAGAGCCTGACCCATGACTGTGGTCTCAAGGTGGGAAACGTGGAAGACACAGGCAGTGGGAGGAAAGTCACCCGTTGGCATGGCCACCACCTGCCTGCACCCATGGGCATCCCAGCCATGCCACCACCTGTCTGCACCTGAGCACCTAAAATGCAGCCATGACCCATGTAACCTGTGTCCTGGGGCATATCCCTCAGCACCAGCTTGGAATACACTTACCTCGAGCTCAAGTTTTCATCTTATTAAATGCTATTTGACAGCAATTTTTTAAAATGTCTACATGTCAAGAGAGAGGGGGAGGGAGAGAGGTGGGGGGAGAGAGAGGGGGGGAGAGAGGGAGAGGGAGAGAGAGGGGGGGAGAGAGAGAGAGAGAGATAGAGAGAGAGAGAGAGAGAGAGAGAGAGAGAATCCCAAGCAGGTCCCGTGCTGTCAGCGCAGGGCCTGACTCAGGGCTCTAACTCACAACCCTGGAATCATGACCTGAGCTAAAATCAAGAACCAGATGTTTAACCGACTGAGTCCCGCAAGCGCCTCTTGACAGCAATCTTAATGGCAAACTAAGGATTCTTCTTGGTGAGGCCTAACATCTACACAGCCTCGATTTAGATCGTTTTGTTGACAGCGGTGCTAAGTCACGCTGCCCAAGCATCCAGTCCGGTGGAATCTCAGACGGCATCCACGAATCTTTTTCTCGAGGATGAGTTTCTGGATGTGCCATTACTGGGAAAATGTATGAATGTTTCAAGGACCGTAATAGGAATTCACTGCTTTCCAGAAAGGTCAGTCCGGTTTGCCCCACCCTCAGGGATGTGCACAAGTGTTGGGGTCCAAGAGGAGCCCGCGGGACAGATGGGGCCGGAGCACCCCGGGAGGGCAGGCAGAGCCTTCTGCCAGCGCCTGCATGGCCAGTCCTGGGGGCCGTGCTGAGGACTGTCACCCTCACCTCCTTGATCAGGGTCCACGGCGGCGTCTTGCTGCCGTTTGCTACAAGCCTCTGCGTCCACCCGTGCAGAGCTCGGTGCACAGAAGCAAGAATGCCAGAGCCGGGCCCGCATTTGAATCCTGCTCCCCATGGAGCGGACTGACCAGGGGCAGGTCTCTCACCTGCACCTAAAGGACACGTCCAAGAAGCAGCCACGGGCCCCAGACGCCGGGCTCAGTGAGGACACGTGGCTGCGAGCTGGCATCCCCTTCCCTGTACACAGGCGCTCAGAGCCACTCCCAGCCTCCTTTGGCCTGACCCGCCCCGGCTGCTCACTGTCCGCCTGGCACCAGGCCGGATGGCCTCTCCACCCATCTGCTGCTCCTGGGCGTGCTGAGAGGCAGAGCTGGGGCGGCTCCCCCAAGTTCTCAGGAGACGAGTTCTCACGTGGTCGTGAGGTCGCCCTGACCCCAACTGCCGCGCCAAACTCACCTGCCCGTGTGGGCACCGGGCACCCCCTCCCCACCTCGCCTGTGCTGGGCCTCGGGGAAGACTGGGAAGTCCGCACTGTCACTGTCCTTCCTAAGATGGCACCCACTCTCCTCCTCGGCCTGTCGAGGCTTTGCCTCGAGCGCAGAGCACCGTCGCGGTGCCCAGGCGCCTCCGCCTCCGCTGCTGGGCCTTTAGGGCCGCTTCTGTGAACAGGCACGTGCTGTCAGGGCCTGCGGGAGCAGAGCTGCCCCGCGACACCCACGGCTCCCGGGCGTCATCCTCACCCAGTGACAGTCCCTGGATGGGATGCTGTCCCCCAAATGGCCACAGATTCTTGGGGAGCAAGTAAATGGTGTGCAGTTCATGACAAACTGGTGTGGTCGGGGCACAGAGAGACGGGGCCCGGACGGCGGGGGAGGGCTGGGAGCCGGGAACAACCGAAGACGCGGGCCGGCGTGAGGGGCAGGGGCAGCGGGGCACGGGGGTGAGGGGGTCTGCACCTGCCTCTTCCCAAAGAGCACCCCAGGACGGGGCCACGTGGGGTCGGGAGAGCTCCAGCTGGGACAGCTGGTCAACAACAGCAAGGGGAAGGCCCACCACCCGCCCCTGCTCTGGGATCTGTAGGTCTTATTCATAAAAAAGGCGATTCGTGTATCCACGTCCATCTCGAGTCTGCCTGTGTCTGCGCCAAGACTCAGCACAGCCCGGGAGCTCCTGGGCTCAGAGACGCTGGCTGTCAGGAGTCAAACTGTGTCCCCAAACCCCTGTGTTGCAGCCCTAACCCATGCGACTCCATGTGGGGACAGGGTCTTTAAAAAGTGATTAAGGCCTGGGCCATAGGTGGGCTCAGATCCGACAGGACCCACATCCTTGCAGGAAAAAAAGACACCAGTGATGCAAGAACACAGAGAGCATGAAGTCACAGGGGACCACACACCAGGGAGCAAGGCGTCAGGATAAACCAGCCGTCTCCACACGTGGATCTCAGGTTCATGGCCTCCCGGACAGAGGCATGTGAATGTGTGGTTTAGCCAGCCTGCCCGTGGCATTCTTCGTGGCAGCCTGAGGTCCCAGGGTATTGTGTTGGGAGTAGGCCCCCCGCCTCACAGCCCTGTTTCAGAGGGACAAACGTGACCCATCGAGGCCACGGTGGGCGTTAAGGTGTGTGGCTTGGCCCTAAAGAGACCTATGCCCAGCAAGGTCCCCGCAGAACACACCAGTGACCCCTGGTCTGCTGCACCTGTTACCAAAACAAGTGCAGAAAACCGCTCACCTGGCGGATGCTCTCAGCCCACTGCCCCGTCTGAAGCGGGGCACCCCTGGCCTGAGCCCACGGGGTGATGCAGCGGCGGGAATGGGGGGTGCTGACCCGTGCTCTCCTGCGGGCACACGCACCTGGAGTAGTCACAGAACACCTCCAGGGTCCGAGTGTCCAGCAGCAAACCGCACCAGGGGAACAGGCAGTGGGCGGGCAGCTGGAGGGGGGCCGCGCTGCCTGGGGCGCTGTCGTCCACGGGGAAGTTCACTGCTGTCTTCTGCAAGTTGGCTGTGCAGCCATACTCAGGAACACCTCTGACCAGGGTCCTAGAGCAGAGAGGCCACGTCAGCCACTGGGAGGCGGGGATCTGTGGGCCCCAGGGAGGTGTCCGAGGAAGGCCAGACATGGCCCTGCTAAGACTCCAAGTGCCTGTCCCCAGAGGCTTCTGGGTGAGCGAGGCCGGCGCCTGAAGCAGGGTGGCTGGGCCAGGGAAGGGCCACGACCAGACACCAGATGACCCCAGTCACAGGTCACAGGTGAGCTGTCAGCTTGGAACCAGCTGACAGTAGGGGAGACGGGGGCCTGGGGGGAGGCAGAGCCCACGGGCCAGCCAGTCAGCCACGTCCACGTGTACAGCTATAGGTCACAGTGTCACATGAGCACCTGATGAGATCTACAACCATAACCCACCAGTTTTAAAGGAAGAGACTGTCCACCACGGGGTGGGCCATGCATTAGGGAGGGCCTGATGTCCAGGACAGGTGAACCAAGGAGGGAAGCAACTTCCCGATACCACAGCCCCAGCGCCTGCCCCGTGGACCTTAGACCGCCGGGCTCACCCACACCGGCATCAGGGCCGAATCCTCAAAAATCTTCCCCTGGACACAGGATGTCCATCCCCAGTGGCTTGCATCCCTGGCGGAACCCTGACACCCATTCAGCCACCTGCCTGTAGTGTCATCCCTAGAACTTTCTGTGATAGCAGCTGGGCCCTGTACTGAACCCCTGGTTTACCACTGGCCACATGTGGCTAAGACCTTAGAAGACGGCTGTATGCGAGGATCTGGACTTGTCTCTGAACTAATAACTAATACACATTGGAAAACGTACATTTGTGGGAATACCGTGCTGGGCTGCTGTGGACGGCGAGCCCGTGGGCTGCTGGGAATCCCCCACGGGCAGCTTGGGCTGCAGGGACGCTGCCCAGATGGATTTGTTCAACGACAGCCCAGCGACCAAAGCAAACACCCCTGGGTTTAACGACCTTCTCCTTCTCTGGAAAGGCACACTTGAAAATCAGCCCCGGACTCCTGGGGCCCCGGGGGGACAGTGCTGGGGACACCCTGCCTAACGCAAGCCCCCACACTCGAGACTCCACGTGGTCCTAGGCCTCGGAGCACCACTTAGCCCGCTGTCCCTCCCACGTGGCCTACAGAGAGAAAGACGCCCCAGGGGCGCAGCGGCAGGTGCAGGGCCTCACCTGTTTCCTCCGTGTGTGCGGCACAGCGGGGGGGGGGGGGGGGGGGGCCCCCCTGCTGTCCGCCGGCGCAGCGCACACCCNAGAGAGAGAGAGAGAGAGAGAGAGAGAGAGAATCCCAAGCAGGTCCCGTGCTGTCAGCGCAGGGCCTGACTCAGGGCTCTAACTCACAACCCTGGAATCATGACCTGAGCTAAAATCAAGAACCAGATGTTTAACCGACTGAGTCCCGCAAGCGCCTCTTGACAGCAATCTTAATGGCAAACTAAGGATTCTTCTTGGTGAGGCCTAACATCTACACAGCCTCGATTTAGATCGTTTTGTTGACAGCGGTGCTAAGTCACGCTGCCCAAGCATCCAGTCCGGTGGAATCTCAGACGGCATCCACGAATCTTTTTCTCGAGGATGAGTTTCTGGATGTGCCATTACTGGGAAAATGTATGAATGTTTCAAGGACCGTAATAGGAATTCACTGCTTTCCAGAAAGGTCAGTCCGGTTTGCCCCACCCTCAGGGATGTGCACAAGTGTTGGGGTCCAAGAGGAGCCCGCGGGACAGATGGGGCCGGAGCACCCCGGGAGGGCAGGCAGAGCCTTCTGCCAGCGCCTGCATGGCCAGTCCTGGGGGCCGTGCTGAGGACTGTCACCCTCACCTCCTTGATCAGGGTCCACGGCGGCGTCTTGCTGCCGTTTGCTACAAGCCTCTGCGTCCACCCGTGCAGAGCTCGGTGCACAGAAGCAAGAATGCCAGAGCCGGGCCCGCATTTGAATCCTGCTCCCCATGGAGCGGACTGACCAGGGGCAGGTCTCTCACCTGCACCTAAAGGACACGTCCAAGAAGCAGCCACGGGCCCCAGACGCCGGGCTCAGTGAGGACACGTGGCTGCGAGCTGGCATCCCCTTCCCTGTACACAGGCGCTCAGAGCCACTCCCAGCCTCCTTTGGCCTGACCCGCCCCGGCTGCTCACTGTCCGCCTGGCACCAGGCCGGATGGCCTCTCCACCCATCTGCTGCTCCTGGGCGTGCTGAGAGGCAGAGCTGGGGCGGCTCCCCCAAGTTCTCAGGAGACGAGTTCTCACGTGGTCGTGAGGTCGCCCTGACCCCAACTGCCGCGCCAAACTCACCTGCCCGTGTGGGCACCGGGCACCCCCTCCCCACCTCGCCTGTGCTGGGCCTCGGGGAAGACTGGGAAGTCCGCACTGTCACTGTCCTTCCTAAGATGGCACCCACTCTCCTCCTCGGCCTGTCGAGGCTTTGCCTCGAGCGCAGAGCACCGTCGCGGTGCCCAGGCGCCTCCGCCTCCGCTGCTGGGCCTTTAGGGCCGCTTCTGTGAACAGGCACGTGCTGTCAGGGCCTGCGGGAGCAGAGCTGCCCCGCGACACCCACGGCTCCCGGGCGTCATCCTCACCCAGTGACAGTCCCTGGATGGGATGCTGTCCCCCAAATGGCCACAGATTCTTGGGGAGCAAGTAAATGGTGTGCAGTTCATGACAAACTGGTGTGGTCGGGGCACAGAGAGACGGGGCCCGGACGGCGGGGGAGGGCTGGGAGCCGGGAACAACCGAAGACGCGGGCCGGCGTGAGGGGCAGGGGCAGCGGGGCACGGGGGTGAGGGGGTCTGCACCTGCCTCTTCCCAAAGAGCACCCCAGGACGGGGCCACGTGGGGTCGGGAGAGCTCCAGCTGGGACAGCTGGTCAACAACAGCAAGGGGAAGGCCCACCACCCGCCCCTGCTCTGGGATCTGTAGGTCTTATTCATAAAAAAGGCGATTCGTGTATCCACGTCCATCTCGAGTCTGCCTGTGTCTGCGCCAAGACTCAGCACAGCCCGGGAGCTCCTGGGCTCAGAGACGCTGGCTGTCAGGAGTCAAACTGTGTCCCCAAACCCCTGTGTTGCAGCCCTAACCCATGCGACTCCATGTGGGGACAGGGTCTTTAAAAAGTGATTAAGGCCTGGGCCATAGGTGGGCTCAGATCCGACAGGACCCACATCCTTGCAGGAAAAAAAGACACCAGTGATGCAAGAACACAGAGAGCATGAAGTCACAGGGGACCACACACCAGGGAGCAAGGCGTCAGGATAAACCAGCCGTCTCCACACGTGGATCTCAGGTTCATGGCCTCCCGGACAGAGGCATGTGAATGTGTGGTTTAGCCAGCCTGCCCGTGGCATTCTTCGTGGCAGCCTGAGGTCCCAGGGTATTGTGTTGGGAGTAGGCCCCCCGCCTCACAGCCCTGTTTCAGAGGGACAAACGTGACCCATCGAGGCCACGGTGGGCGTTAAGGTGTGTGGCTTGGCCCTAAAGAGACCTATGCCCAGCAAGGTCCCCGCAGAACACACCAGTGACCCCTGGTCTGCTGCACCTGTTACCAAAACAAGTGCAGAAAACCGCTCACCTGGCGGATGCTCTCAGCCCACTGCCCCGTCTGAAGCGGGGCACCCCTGGCCTGAGCCCACGGGGTGATGCAGCGGCGGGAATGGGGGGTGCTGACCCGTGCTCTCCTGCGGGCACACGCACCTGGAGTAGTCACAGAACACCTCCAGGGTCCGAGTGTCCAGCAGCAAACCGCACCAGGGGAACAGGCAGTGGGCGGGCAGCTGGAGGGGGGCCGCGCTGCCTGGGGCGCTGTCGTCCACGGGGAAGTTCACTGCTGTCTTCTGCAAGTTGGCTGTGCAGCCATACTCAGGAACACCTCTGACCAGGGTCCTAGAGCAGAGAGGCCACGTCAGCCACTGGGAGGCGGGGATCTGTGGGCCCCAGGGAGGTGTCCGAGGAAGGCCAGACATGGCCCTGCTAAGACTCCAAGTGCCTGTCCCCAGAGGCTTCTGGGTGAGCGAGGCCGGCGCCTGAAGCAGGGTGGCTGGGCCAGGGAAGGGCCACGACCAGACACCAGATGACCCCAGTCACAGGTCACAGGTGAGCTGTCAGCTTGGAACCAGCTGACAGTAGGGGAGACGGGGGCCTGGGGGGAGGCAGAGCCCACGGGCCAGCCAGTCAGCCACGTCCACGTGTACAGCTATAGGTCACAGTGTCACATGAGCACCTGATGAGATCTACAACCATAACCCACCAGTTTTAAAGGAAGAGACTGTCCACCACGGGGTGGGCCATGCATTAGGGAGGGCCTGATGTCCAGGACAGGTGAACCAAGGAGGGAAGCAACTTCCCGATACCACAGCCCCAGCGCCTGCCCCGTGGACCTTAGACCGCCGGGCTCACCCACACCGGCATCAGGGCCGAATCCTCAAAAATCTTCCCCTGGACACAGGATGTCCATCCCCAGTGGCTTGCATCCCTGGCGGAACCCTGACACCCATTCAGCCACCTGCCTGTAGTGTCATCCCTAGAACTTTCTGTGATAGCAGCTGGGCCCTGTACTGAACCCCTGGTTTACCACTGGCCACATGTGGCTAAGACCTTAGAAGACGGCTGTATGCGAGGATCTGGACTTGTCTCTGAACTAATAACTAATACACATTGGAAAACGTACATTTGTGGGAATACCGTGCTGGGCTGCTGTGGACGGCGAGCCCGTGGGCTGCTGGGAATCCCCCACGGGCAGCTTGGGCTGCAGGGACGCTGCCCAGATGGATTTGTTCAACGACAGCCCAGCGACCAAAGCAAACACCCCTGGGTTTAACGACCTTCTCCTTCTCTGGAAAGGCACACTTGAAAATCAGCCCCGGACTCCTGGGGCCCCGGGGGGACAGTGCTGGGGACACCCTGCCTAACGCAAGCCCCCACACTCGAGACTCCACGTGGTCCTAGGCCTCGGAGCACCACTTAGCCCGCTGTCCCTCCCACGTGGCCTACAGAGAGAAAGACGCCCCAGGGGCGCAGCGGCAGGTGCAGGGCCTCACCTGTTTCCTCCGGGGGGGGGGGGGGGGGGGGGGGGGGGGGGTATCCCTGGCCCCCCTGCTGTCCGCCGGCGCAGCGCACACCCCGACTTACAGGGGCCTCCGGGGACGCCGCCCCTGCCCACTGGGCCACCCAAGCCCGCTCCCCACCCCCCGCGCCGGCAGCACCCACGCCCGCAGCCACGCCCGCGGCTCCAGCACCCCCGGACGCTCAGCTACCGTGGCTGCAGCCGGGACTCTCAGGGCGGCCGGGAGGCGCAGGGCGCCATCCACCAGGGGCCGGGGTGGTCGGGAAGCACGACTCCGCCCGTGAGGTCGGCTCGCGAACCACAGGGGCGCCGTGGGACGCGCGTGGGGCCCCTACCTGAGGAAGGCTCTGGCTTGCGCCAGGTGAGGGGTGACCAGCAGGAAGTCGTCCACCAGACGCAGGAGCAGCCTACGAGAGGGCCGAGCAGCACTACAGCGGGGGCCGCGGGGGCCCCGGGACCAGCACGAAGTCCACTCTCCGGAGGACCTGGCCAGAGGCCTGCACCCCCAGCGGGTGCGGCGGCGGCGGGGCGCGGGGTCCGGGGGCGCGGCGCTGGGGGGTCCGGGGGCGCGGCGCAGGGGGGGGCCGCGGAAACGCGCCCTGGCCGCCTTTGAGACCGCTCGTGTCCGAAGCCTGCGTTCACCACCTGCTTGCTACCTCCCGCGTGAACCCCCACAAACACGTGAGAGCGGCGCCGTCGGCGTTGAGAGGACCCGGGCCGTGAGGCGGGACCGCGCACGCGCACGCGGCGGCTGGAGGCGGGACCGCGCACGCGCACGAGGCGGCTGGAGGCGGGACCGCGCACGCGCACACGAAGGGGCTCCGTACCCATCCTGGTGGATCCCGGAAAACAGCCTGCTCTCCATGTCCCCGTAGCACAGGCTGCAGAGCAGCGTGGACAGGACGGAGCCCTGCGGGATCCCCTGACACTGCACGTAGGACCTGGGGGACGGGACGCAGGTAGCGCAGGCCACGGCGGGCCTCACGGTCATCCCGTGGGCACACAGGCACGCAGACCCGGGGCGCGTGAGCCGGGCCTGTCACATGCTCCCACACAGCCCTGCCATGGATCTGTTCACACATGCGACGGCCACACGGGCTCAGCCGTTTTCATAAAGATCACAGCAGGCAACAAGGGGGTGTCACAGGTGTGGCCCCACAAGCAAGTCCTCTTGTGACCTGGGTGCTACTTACAGGCATGTGCAGGCGCACCCCCTTGGTCAAGGCTCACCCCTTCGTGCATCTGTGAGCGTGCTTTTCAGGATGCAGATGTCGGTTGATAACGCCTTACGCAGTTATATTTTAATAAGTACTACGGTCATAACATAACACCTCCTAGAAAGCTTCCAACTCGTAGCGCACAGGGTGTGACCCCAGGGAAGGTGCCCACACTCCAAGGTGACCTCTAATGACCTTGGCCGTGAGCCTTAGCCCCCCCAGGACCACTGCTCTCAGCAGACACACCCTGGGGTCTTCATGCAGGTGCTCACCCGGGGAAGCTGGGTTTTATCTGCACAAATAAATTATCTGCCAGCATTTAAATGCCAAAGGACTTCCGGAACCCCGGACGCCTCGCTTCTGCTACCCTGGCAGAGTGGCCACGGCGCCTGTCCGATCCGGGACGCCACCCGACACAGGGTTTCACAGGACCCAGACTTACTTGCCCCCAATCCTTATGACGTGGTTGTGCACCAGGCGCAGGAAGAGGTGGAAAAGGCTGCTGCCGGCCTCGTTCAGAGAGGAGCTCTGGAGGAGGGGAGAGGCGGGGGCGCGAGGGCACGTCACGCACACAGGCAGGTGCACCACGCTGGACATCCCCCTAGGTGGTCCTCAGGCCACGCGGGCCCAGACGGCATGCACCAGGGTGTGTGGCCTGCAGCACCTGGTGGGGCCCCAGCGGGAGAACAGGGGTCTGGACGTCTCAGAGCCTCAGTGAGTGAGACAGGCTTGTCCCTAATAACTGGTTCTGCACAAAGCCACAGAGCTGTGTGGGCTGATCCACCACCCAGGGCCCCACACTCCAGAGCAGCCCCTGCTTACAACAAGGAAAATGGGTTTCCCACTAGGTGGTCAACCCCAGGTGGGGCTACAGAGCAAATCCCACTTGTTCTAAGGAAGGGGCACATTTTCCTTTGTCCTCACAATCCAGGCTGAGGGAGAGGACGTCTAACAAAGCTGGACTGCAGCAGGGAACCTGGCCAGGTGGGAAAGGGAGATGTGTGGCTGAAGGCGGCCGCAGGCCTCTGGCTGCGTGGTTCACTAAGAGGCTACACCAGGGGCCCCTCCGGGCGGATGGTGGCCTCGGCCACGTCCACGCCCCACCCGGCAGTGAGCCGAGGGCCTGATCCCCCAACCTGCTCAATGACCACGGCGTCCCTCAGGGGGCTCGTTTCCTGCAGATGCTCCACGAACTGTCTCATGTATGGCTGGAGGTCTGCAAAGGTGGACACCTGCTGGCAAACGGGGGGGCGTGAGACGGGTGCACACCCCCCGGGGCCCGGAGACCTAGTCGCCATCAGGGGCAGGCCACTGCCATTTGACGATGGAGGGTGATGGCTCTGGGAGTAGGTCACGACCACAGACCACAGAACAGCCCCTTGGTCACCCTGCTGACAACTGAAGCCATGCCGAAGGAACCTGCTGGGGGTCCCAGTCTGTGGGGGAACCCACCTTCCTGGGACCCCTCCGCCATGGCGAGCCCAAGGGGATGGTGGTCGGGGTTCAGGGCCACCCAAGCAGCCAGGATGGAGGGGGGGCAGGTCCAGGGAGGTGGGACTGGAGAGAAATGAGCCATGCTGCAATTTCTTCCCAAGTCCTACCAACCCTCAGCTGCCATCGGGGGCCTGGAGGCAGGAAGCCCAGGTGAGCACAGGAGGCTGGGGCGGGGGGGGGGAGTTCCCAGATGAGCACAGGGGGCTGGGCAGGGGGAGGAGGGGCTCCCAGGTGAGCACAGGGGGTTGGGCAGATACACCCTCATCACAGGCACCCTCACTGTGGAACACACACCCTGTAGGGGTCTTACGTGTCGTTTGAAGGACTTGCGGACGTGTCCCTGGGCAGTTCTCTGGACCACGGCATACCGACGCACGCAGTAGGTGTTTTCTTGAGGCTTGATCACGTTGGCAATCACCTCTACCAGCTTGTCCTGCGGGAGGGCATCGTAGGCCCCTGTCACGTCCACCTTTGTGGGAAGAGAGGTGTGTGTTTACAGCTGCTCGTGTGCTCACCTGGGGTTTCCAGGCCCCGCTGGTCTTGACCTGCGTCAGCAAACTCAGGTAAGAGACCCTGATGCCCAGGACAGCCCCGTCCCCACTGCACACACCTGTCCCACGGCCCCAGACTTGGCACCCCGGGCAGGCCTGCTTCCCTCTAGGTTCCCTGAGACATGATTCCCCAAAGGGCGCCTCATTTGGGCAAATGCAGGGGCCTGAAGGCCAGCCACTCCCACTTCCCTGGCCAGAGCCCACGATGCAGGGGCAGGTGGTGGCGGCGGGAGGGCGCTCCCCTGAGCCTCAGGTGCCTAGCAGGCTCACTCGTGGGTGCCCACCTTGACAAAGTACAGCTGGGGCGCTGGGTCCTGGGCCCGTACGCGCAGCACAAAGGTGCGCCAGGCCCTGTGGATGTCGTCCATGCCCAGCACGGAGGCCCCCAGGAGGCTGGGCCGCCGGGCCCGCTCGTAGTTCAGCACGCTGAACAGCGTCTTCACCTGCGAGGTGAGCTGCTGCACCTGTCATGCCAGCCAGGGACACGGGCGGCAAAGTCAGGGGACGCCCGGCAAAAGGGAGCCTGGGTCAGACCCCTCACCCCTACCTACGGGGCCCCCAGAGAAGAGGCAGCTCCCTGCCTCTGCACCTCCTCTCACCCTCCCAGCATCCGGAAGGGCCAGATGGCCGATCCCACCACGGCCCTCCCTTCCACACCCTGGGTCCTCCTGGGGACCTGTCACAGGATCTCAGAAACTACATGTATGAAGTGCAGCTAGCGACAGGGCCCACCCTTCTCTACCTACTGAGCCCCCGGCCACAGATGGGGGGACCCCGACCACACCAGGTGGGAGACGCTCCACTCAGACCCAGCCAGGTCCCCAGTCAGTATCAACAGCCTTGTTTTCTCATTTGGGAGCATCGCATGACAAAGTCACCCCAGCACTGTGTAGAGCCACTTAGAAGGGGTCAGAGCTGCCGGGAACAGAGGCGCTGTGGGGAGGGGGGCACCTTAGGCATCCTCTAAGATAGGCCTGCCACCAAGCTCCTTCTCCACACCCGGGCACATGGCCCCATCATGGTGCTCTGCCCTCCCGTGGGCTTGACGTGCCTCGGGGGGCCCCCCTCGGGCCTCCTGTCTACCTCAAAACCAAGCCAGGGTTTAAACGCACTTTGCTTAGAAATGAAAACAACAGTGATGACCTTCTTGTCTCTGCGGAATGTTCTGGCTCCCACAACATAGTCCATGTTCACGATTGGCCGAAGCCCACTGGGCTTGGGGAGGAAGCGGAGTTTGGATGTCAGCAGAGGGGGTCTGGCTTCCTGATACCCCCTGACCTCTGGTTCTGACAGCTCCCGAAGATGCACACTGTCGAAGTGTCGTCTGAAACAGAGAGCCCCGTGGGAACGCGGCCGGGCAGCCCTGCCGGGGCCCAGAACCAGCGAGCCTGGCAGAGCACCAGAGCTCGCACGTGGCGCGGCCAGGCCCCGGGGCGCTGTGGCCGGCAGCCTGCAGGAGCACCTCCCACAGCACGGGCCAGGACACCCGTTTCCCTCCAGCACAGAGGCCCCCGGTGGCACAGGCTGGGACCAGGCGGGGCCTCTGGGCAAGGGTAGGGGGAGGAGGTGACGTGTGCGGCCCCCGCAGTGGTACGTAATCATCCCTCCAGGGACCCGCCAGCTCGTCATCCGTGACCTTCACTCCTTCCCCCAGAACCACCCACGGACAGAGGGGCCAGGTGCTCCCCAGGCTGATGGCCTGCCCAGCCCAGCGAGGGAGTCACGTGCCTGCCAGGCAGGGGCAGATTCCACAGTCCCCACAAGAAGCATCAGTGGCTGCTTCGGATCAGGTGCCGTGAAATGTTTAAGTGATTAAACAGGCCGTGCTGTCTGTTAACTCACACCGGCGATGAGGCCTCCAGACCCTCCCCCAGGTGCAGGACACAGGCCCGGCGCCACGTGGCTCAGGGGACCCCAGCCGGCCCCTCCACACAGGCCGGGGGCTTGACCCCAGTGCAGGACGTGGCGCGGGATCCCAGATCCCGCCATGTTAGGGTCCTCGCCAAAGCCGGAGAGGATGCTGGGCACGTCGGCCAGGCCCCAGAGGCGCAGGGCCTGTGTGCCGGGCAGCCGCACCGTCCGCGGACTGGACCCCGCCCGGCCTATGTTCACCACAGTCCTTCAGTCCTTCCCGTGAAATAGCCTGTGAGCAACTGAGACAACGGAGCAGCCACCCGGAGGCCGTGCAAACGAGCTTGCCGCCTCGGGGTCCTGCTTCGCGAAGACGCCTCTGCCCCAGACACCTCTCCCACATACCTCGTCGAATAGGCGGGGTTTATCAACCTGTGATAGGGTCCCATTTGTCCTGTGCAAATTAAAATAGAATCCGACCCGTATGCCAGGGACAAGCCAGTAACCTGCACGGCCGTTTCCATTCACTATAAACTTCTACTTCTGAGACCCCAGAGCCTAGCTAGCCCAAACTCCGACTTCACAGGTCACAGGAAGGGGGGGCACTCAGGAGTCTGTGCCCAACGAGGGGCCCACAGGGAGCCCCGAGCACACTGGGTGGGCAGGACTCAGGACTCTCATCTACACGGACAGGAAAAAACATGACCAAGTGACATTGATCTAGACACCTGATTCCTATGCTCTGCAACTGGCTCCAGACACTCTTCCGGTAGAAAAAGAGCCGGTTCTTCTGAAATGTAGTTTCCGTGACATAAAAAAATGACTTGAGCAGCTCCACCACGTAGGTGCCCAGCAGCCAGCACAGCAGCTTGGCCAGGACCTCCTCTCGGCGACGGTGCTCAGCGGCCGGGACGCAGCGAGCCCCTGGAAGGGAAAGGCACAGAAGCCAGTGTCAACCCCGCACCCAGGGCTGCCCCGCAGGCGCTGCCCATCGCGGCCACCACTGGCCGCTTGAAACGGGGCAGGCGGGCCTGAGGCGCAGTGTGCACAGTCCACGGCCAGAGGGGGACGAGGGTCAGTAACGAAGCTTCCCCGGGTCATACGCTGAAGTGACGACGTCCGGGCGTGCTAGGCTTTAGTGAAAGACATTATTATGGTGGTGTCACCTCTCCTGTTTACTGTGTAACGTGGCCACCAAAGAGCTGAAGTTACACGTGCACTCAGGTCCCGTTTCTACGGGACAGACACCAGGAGGCTTCATCACCAGTCCCGTTCACAAGCAGGATGACGGGGAAGCAGAGACACACTCTGTACGGTGACACATGGTCATTAAGCAGCATCACCAGCGGCAGCGGGACCCAGAAATGCCCGGGGTCTTCCAGGCTGAACCCGGACAGGTTCAGACAAGCAGAGGTGGTCACGCAGGAGCTAGGTGCTGCCAGATGCCGTGGGGCTGCGAACACTCACAGGGCGGGGGGACGCCCCCGGGCCCCCTTCCCTCCTTGGGGCGCGCATCAGGGGGCTGAGGACGCATATCAGCGGCCCAGGGACATGAACCAGGGCCCCCTTGGTGGGACACGCACCAGGCTCCCCCCTCCCCCCACGGAAGGTGCACCACGGGTCCGAGCTGCCCTTTCCACATTCCTCCGCACTTTACTCCACACTCTCAAAAGCATCACGAGTAGGAGCCACCAGGCTGCCACAGGTGGTGGCATATATGCAGCTGGGGCTTCACCACCAATAACTGACACAGAAAAAAACCATAAAGGAGAAGAAAGGGGGTCCGGAGGCTGGTTCGGGACAGAGGACAGAACGACGAGAGAGGGCAGGGGACAAAGCCCACCCGCACTGACCGCAGAACACACAGCGGTCCCAGCTTGGGGCAGAGCCAAGGCAGTGGGGAAACGAAGTGGGAGGTCAGGCCCTTGTGCTGCTGGGGGGGGCATGGAGAAGACGCAGAGCACGGGGGCGAGCGGGGAGGCCCCGCCAGGGAATGGGGGACAGATCGGGAAGAGGGATGGGGCACCCAGGCTCGTCTGTGGTCACCAGAAAGAAACGGGAGTCTGCAGGTCGGTGGCAGACACCGCCAGGCTGGACGGAAAGGAAGATGAAGACACCAGCTCGTGTTGCTGGTCTGAGCGAGGCCACGAGGCCATGGGAATGCCAGGCACGAGCTCTAACAGGTCAGGCGTGCCCACGAGGCAAGCACACGCCCGGAGACCGCCGGCTGCCGCTCTGCGGGCGCAAGCACACGCTTTGAGGGAACAGGCACCAGGAAGCGATCATCAGGGATGCAAAAATTCTGCAGTGTGCTCCCACCTTATAAAACCTAGTGCGAATACCGCCGTGCAGGGCGAAGAGGGCACACCCACCCCTGAGGACGGCCACACGCCTGTCAGCGCCTCGCCGCGGGGAGGGGGACGCCTGCGGTGTGAGCCCCCAGCCCGCCACAGGCCACCAGCAGCACACGAACACACACCCACGCCTGAACACCTGTCTGCGCACGGAACACGCATCAGCACACCCATCTGCACACGGAACATCTGCACACAGCACATGCGTCTGCACACAGAACACCTGTCTACACACGGAACATCTGTCCGCAGACAGAATGCCTGTCTGCACACATCACACCCATCTGCACACGGAATGCCTATCTGCACACAGCACACATATCTGCACACGGAATGCCTGTCTGCACACAGCACACACATCTGCACACGGAATGCCTGTCTGCACACGGAACATCTGTCTGCACACAGCACAGGCACCTGCACACAGATCACCTCTCTGCACATGGATTGCACATGTGCACATGGATCACCTGTCTGCACACAGTACACACATCTGCACACGGAATGCCTGTCTGCACACAGCACACGCATCAGCACACCCATCTGCACACGGAACATCTGTCTGCACACAGCACATGCGTCTGCACACAGAACACCGGTCTACACACAGAACATCTGTCCGTAGACAGAATGCCTGTAGGCACACAGCACACTCATCTGCACACGGAATGCCTGTCTGCACACTGCACACATATCTGCACACGGAACATGTGTCTGCACACAGCACACACATCTGCACACGGAATGCCTGTCTGCACACGGAACATCTGCACACAGCACAGGCACCTGCACACAGATCACCTCTCTGCACATGGATGCACGTGTGCACATGGATCACCTGTCTGCACACAGTACACGCATCTGCACACGGAATGCCTATCTGCACACAGCACACGCATCAGCACACCCATCTGCACACGGAACATCTGTCTGCACACAGCACATGCGTCTGCACACAGAACACCGGTCTACACACAGAACATCTGTCCGTAGACAGAATGCCTGTAGGCACACAGCACACTCATCTGCACACGGAATGCCTGTCTGCACACTGCACACATATCTGCACACGGAACATGTGTCTGCACACAGCACACACATCTGCACACGGAATGCCTGTCTGCACACGGAACATCTGCACACAGCACAGGCACCTGCACACAGATCACCTCTCTGCACATGGATGCACGTGTGCACATGGATCACCTGTCTGCACACAGTACACGCATCTGCACACGGAATGCCTATCTGCACACAGCACACGCATCAGCACACCCATCTGCACACGGAACATCTGTCTGCACACAGCACATGCGTCTGCACACAGAACACCGGTCTACACACAGAACATCTGTCCGTAGACAGAATGCCTGTAGGCACACAGCACACTCATCTGCACACGGAATGCCTGTCTGCACACTGCACACATATCTGCACACGGAACATGTGTCTGCACACAGCACACACATCTGCACACGGAATGCCTGTCTGCACACGGAACATCTGCACACAGCACAGGCACCTGCACACAGATCACCTCTCTGCACATGGATGCACGTGTGCACATGGATCACCTGTCTGCACACAGTACACGCATCTGCACACGGAATGCCTATCTGCACACAGCACACGCATCAGCACACCCATCTGCACACGGAACATCTGTCTGCACACAGCACATGCGTCTGCACACAGAACACCGGTCTACACACGGAACATCTGTCCGTAGACAGAATGCCTGTAGGCACACAGCACACTCATCTGCACATGGAATGCCTGTCTGCACACTGCACACACATCTGCACACGGAACATGTGTCTGCACACAGCACAGGCACCTGCACATGGATCACCTGTCTGCACACAGCACACGCGTCTGCACAACTTCAGAAGCCTGCCGTGGACCACACACCGCTGCACAGCTCGAGTGTCAATAAAACCAGTAACACAGCTGAATAACGGGCTGGCGGAGTATGATTGAAATGGGAACACGTGGAAACCTGGGGCACAGTGAAGAGGGAATCGTGGCCGATCACCCCTGCGGAGTTAGGAACGGGGTCCGGGTAACCCAGGCGGATGGAGGGATGCGGCCCCCAGAGACCCAATGAGCCGGTGAGGCCAAGACAGCAGACTCTACTCTGAAGGCCGACGGGGCCCCGGCGGGAGGGGCACACTCCCACCCACAGTTAGGAAAAGACGTCATGGGGCCACACGGAAGTCAGTGGGACGTGACGACAGGACCGTAGGCCGGCCCACGGTGGCTGCATGTGCCCAGGGGAAGGGGACCAGGGCAGCCGCCGGCCACGGTGGGCCCCGGGGGACAGGAGGTGCGTGGGGGGTGCCGGGGCACCTCCAGAGTTTCCGTCAGGAATCCGCCGTGTGACACCTAGCAACACCTGCAGGCAGACGCGGACAGCCCGGCAGCCCGGCCACAAGGGATGGGCACCAGGTTTCTGACGGGAGTCAACAGGCAGGACAGCAGTCAGGGCTGGCTTGACAAAGAGGCAAGGGCGCCCGGCGCTGTGGACTGGGCACCCGCCAGGACAGAGGGCCTGCACAGAGGAAGGGGTGCGCCAGCAGCGGGGGGAGTGGGGTGTGGGGGAGAAGAGATGGCCGCCGGAGCCGAGCTTAGAGACCAAAGCTGTCCCTGCATCGTTTGTCCAGCCCGGGTGTGGCCCCGGCCTTGGGAAGGAACGGATGGCCAGGGCCCCAGCTCGAGTGTGCAAGGACACAGGGAGGCCTGGGGCTGGGCCCTCCCGGGGGAGTGCCGCTCCTTCCTGTGCGCGGTACACAGAGGCACGGCCGACCTCGTGTGAAGATGGGGCCACAGACTGCACCCTTTCCACAAAGTGGCCACGGCCTGGGAGTGCAAGGTCTGTGAAGGCTTGTCCGAGGGTGTGGGACCCCGAGGCCCGTCCACAGCGCACGGGGCAGGGAGGCGCTGGTTAGGGACGGACCGGGAGGCCAGGGAGGACGTTCGCAACGGCGCCCTCGCTCCTGGCAGCGTCTCTGTGCGCTCAGTCTCGCGTTAGGAGGGCCGATGGCCGCTGCGCCTTGTTTTCCCACAATTAAAAAAACAACTAACAAACCCAAGTTATCGGAAGGTCACCCTGCCAGCCATCGCCTGGCCCCAGAGCCTCTTGGGGAACTGCCCACCCCCCGCCCCCCGGAGACTGCAATGCACAGCCCCGGTGCCAACCTCAGCAATCTTCTTTCACCTCGACATTTGGGAGCTCGGGGGACAGGTCTGTCCCGGCTGGTGCCCGGCACTCGGGACGCCGGTGTGCCGAGGAGGAGGGCGCCGGCCGACAGGGAGCTGGGTGGTGGCTGGTCCGGAGGAAACTCCGCATCAAACCCGGACAACGAGGGCGGGAGGGGCCCAGCTTCACAGTCAGCCCCATGGGCAGCCCACCCCCCCTAGCAGGAGAGCACCCTGCCGCTCCCTGGGGACCCTCTCGTTCCTAAAGATGGGGCCGGGGGCTTGCTCCAGAGAGAGCCGTTCCTCCTCCTCTGCCGGCCTGGCCGGGGCGTCCACACCGGATGCTGGCTACCAGGTGTGTGTGGCGCAGCCTCGTCTGCCGCCCCCGCCCCCCCCCCACTCCTACCCGAGCAGCCCGTTTCAAGGTGCTAACCTGGAAGTCAAAAAGGGACGACGAACAACATGCAGGTGCGCTCCTGAGAGCCTCTGGACACTTCTGTCTGTGCCACCGCCCTGCCCACATGTGTGTCACATGTGACCACGGCTTGTCACCGGCACCCAGGGCTTGCCCGAATCCGTCAGAACCGCGAAGGTGTGTGTAAACCGGCCAGGACGGGGTCAGAAGTGGAGTCCGGTGGGACCCCAGCTCCAGCCAGAAGCGGCCCCCCACCCCATGTGCCGTAGGGTGGGAGGGAGGGGCCTGCCGCCCCGAGACCCCCGCTCCCCCGGGGCTCCTCACCTGGGCTCCCGCGCAGCCACGCGCAGTCCTGCACCCGCATCTTCCACGTCAGCTCCCGCGGCGAGAGCTTGGCGTGTTTCCCCAGGGAGAGGAACTTCTTCACGTTCCTCAAGAAGCGCCGCTGGTTGTGCCTGGAGCCCCAGAGCCCGGCGGGCACGAGCCTGCACAGGCAGGCGCGCAGGAAGGCGTACACCTGCCAGGGGCTGCTGTGCTGCCGCAGGAGCTGCAGCAGGTGCCCGGGCGCTGCCGCGCGCCTCTCCAGGCCACGGACGCCCGCTCCCCCGCCGCCCCGCTGGCTCGACCCCTCCGCGGGGGCCGGGGCGCGAGGCGGGCAGTGCGCCCCGAGGAGCGCTCCGTAGGGACACCGTGCGTGGTTGGCAAGCAGCTCCCGGAACAGGGGCCTCATCCGCCAGTAGCGGGCGGGGAGGCGGCGGGGCCTGCGGGCAGCCCCTGGCCGCGGGGACTTGGAGCCCAGAAAGATGGTCTCCAGGAGCGCCCGGGCCCCTGCCAGGCTAGGCTGCAGGGCGCTGAGCAGGAAGGAAGGGCGCAGCCGCTCCTTGCCTCCTGAGGAGTAGAGGAAGTGCTTGGTCTCAGGGTGGGCGAGGTGCTGAAGGCGTGCGCCCTGGGGCCCCGGAGACAGCTGCGCGGCTGCTGCGGGGGTGAGCCGAGTCCCAGGAGGCCCTCCCTCCCGGGGGCTGGCTTCGGCAGGGGCCCTGGCGGACGTCACTGGGCGAGATTCGCCGCCACGCGGCCCGTGGGCCCTGCCGGGGTGGGCGCGGGACGACGGCCTGTCCGGCCCCTGCTCGGGCTCTGGGCTCACGTGGTGCCTGGGCCTCTTGGCCAGAGGCGAGGCGCCCCCGCGGCTGCCCCGCCGCCGCCTTGCGCGCGCGCTCCGGGCCTGGCGCGTGGCTCCGAGGTCCATGCGGGTGCAGGGCCTGCGGCCGGGGGTGGCGAGGGCCCGAGCGGCGGCAGGTGCGCAGAGGTCGTAGAGCGGCGGCCCGCACACCTGGTAGGCGCAGCTCGGGGCCACCAGAAGGTAGAGCGCGCAGCGCGTCAGCAGGTGGACGAGCACGTCGTCGCCCACGCGGCGCAGCAGCAGCCCCCACGCGCCGCTGCCGCGCAGGGTCTCGGTTACCGTGTTGGGCAGGTAGCTGCGCACGCTGGTGGTGAAGGCCACCGGCGGCCCGCCGCGGGCCCCGTCCAGCAGGGCGAAGCCAAAGGCCAGCACGTTCCTGGAGCCGCGCTCGCAGAGCCTCTGCACCACCCGGGCCACCAGCTCCTTCAGGCGGGACACCTGCGGGGAGGGGCGGAGGTCCGGAGGTGCCGGGGCGGGGGCGGCCCCCCTCTCCCGCGCGGCGGGCCCGAGCGGGGTCGCCGGGGGCAGCCCACCTGGCGGAAGGACGCGCCGACGGGGGCCGGCTGCGCGCCCCAGGGCACGCACACCAGGCACTGGGCCACCAGCGCGCGGAAGGCCGCCGGGTCCCCGCGCCGCACGAGCCGCCGGCCCGGGGGCCCCAGGCGCCGCAGGAAGGCGGCCAGAGGCAGCACCTCGCGGTAGCGGCCGCGCAGCAGGGCGCGCACCGCCCGGCACCGGGGCGCGCGCGGCATGGTCGGGGAGGGGCGGGGTCCGCGAGAGGAAGGGGCGGGCCCGGCGGGGGGGGGCGGTGTGTGTGCGGTGGCGGCGCGAAGGGGCGGGGCTTCGGGAAGGAAGGGGCGGGGCCTTTCCGGGGCGGGGTCTTTGGCGGTGCCTGCGGCAAGGTGCGGCGAGGCCCCTGCGTCACCGCGGCGGTGGCCGCCGCCCCCCTGCCCCGGCGCCGCGAGGCCTCCCAGGGTCTGCGGTCCCAGCGAGGGTCGCACCGCGGGCAGCGGTGGCGTCGGGCGGGCACCTGGGGGGTACCCCGGGGGAGCCCCAGTGTGGGGCACCTGGTGCGCTCAGCGCCTTGAGAGGGGCCTGTGGTTTGTCACCTTCACGGGGGCCACGGCCCAGGAGCCAAGGGCTGCCCGGGGGTGCGGCCCGGGGTGGGGGTGGGGGTGGAGGGGCAGGGTAGCAGAGATGCAGAGATGCGCAGGGACAGTCGACAGTCGCCTGGGGCACTGAGCGCTGGCAGCCGCAGGACTCCCCTGCCGCCGCCTCCCGGCCCCAGGCCGTGGGCTTTCTAAGGTTCCCAGGCTTCTGTTGTCCCCACCATAAACAAAAACAAAAATCAATTTCCTACCAACCAAGGTCCAGACAGGAAGGGGGAGAAGTCGGAGGCTTGGACCGCGCGGCGCCATCAGCCAGCGTGTGCCCCACCTTGTGCCCAGAGCCTCCGCCGCAGTCACCCCCCACCCCACCCCCGTGCGGCCCAGCTAGAAACTCCCCACGACACTGACCCCCCCCCCATCCAGGGGGCCAGTTGTGACAATGCTGGTCATGACACTTGAACGAGGCACTTCAGAGGAGCCCCCCGGACGAGATTGCACCGGAACCCAGGCGCCTCGGTGTGTCCAAGTTTGACTAAGAAACAGGCAAACTTCTGGGTCTCAGGAGGCTGACGGGATGACGTGCCTGAGCTTGGCAAACACTGGATGGCTGAACTTTATCAACGAAAGAAACTGGGTCAGGAAATTGCTTTTATTCCTAGTCGTAGCATTTAAACAGGCCTCCCTTCTCACCCCCTGGGGGTAGGGGGCAGAGGGTTTGCATAGTTACTGGGCTCGCTGGGCAGACTGCCCTTCTGTGTAATAGTCGGAGTAGGTGCTGCTGTTCTAGAATTCTGCTGTGCGAGCACTGGGGTCTCCAAGGCTCTGCCTGAGACCCGCTCATCTCTGCCACCGCCCAGCAGTGCCGCTGGGACCGCTGGGGGATCGTTCTTTTCCAACAGCAAAGTGACTCTGGTTCATTTGGAGACACCTGCTCAGAAAACATTAAAAAAAAAAAAAAAAAGAGGGTAGGAGAAACTGAGGCAGAAAACTACACGTGTGACTAATACCGTGTGGATGGCGAGGAACCGCTCCCTGGCTTGAAGGGAAGTCACTCCCCTCCGGCGTACCCTCCCCGGTACAGGCGCCCCCTCCGGTGTGCCCTCCCCGGCACAGGCGCCCCCTCCAGGGTGCCCTCCCCTGCACAAGCGTCCGGTTAGCCTGTCTGGAGAAGGGGGCGGGGGTCTTAAGTCCCTGCAACGTATACAAGACCAGTGTTCCAAGGAGGAAGTTCTGTTGTTGGCTTAAGATAAAGTACAAGAAAACTCTCACGTGGGGCCTTCTGGGGGCTGGGTGGGCTTCACAGCTCCCCTCCCAGTTTCTAAACGGACTGGTGTCTGTACCAGAAGCCAAGAATGCCGTGTGCCGTCCATTTGGTGCGCGAGTGAGGGGCCCCCCAGGCATGGGGGCCGCCCGTGTGAGAGAGGCTGATGCCAGGAGGTCTCTAACACGTGTGCAGGGCGTTGGGGAGGCACTGCAGGGTGTGTGTAGACTGCTTCTCCCCAGTCGACGAGGAATTACAGAAAACGAAGAGCGTGGGTCTGACAATGCGGTTCTGTAAGCCGCAGCCCCGCCACACTGACCCGAGCCGTGGGGGCTCAGTCCCTGGTTCCCCGCGTCGCTCCCCATGCTCGCGGTCACAGCTGTCATGGAGCTGCCGGCCTGGGGGTGGTGTGGGCAGGCCGCCCTGGCAGGAGAGCCGGCTCTGCATGGCAGTGCGGGGAGGGGCCTCTGCGGGGCCTGCTGGCCAGGCACCCTCCCCCCACGGGCACCCTCCCCCTACCTCCCGGGCAACACGTATCGTATCAACTCCCGACAGGTGTCAGCAGGCTAGGCCACGGCCAAAATGAACGCAGTGCAAGGCAGCGTCTTCGCGAAAGCTTCCACGGAGGGAGCGTAGGAAAGAAATGGGGTCCGGCAGAGGGCCTGGGGTGACCCAAGCCCCACGCTGGTCCCTGCTCCCGGGAAAGGTCTTCCACGGTGCACCCCCCAAGCTGCTGGGATGCCAGCCTCTGCCACTGCCTGCACCCCACCCCCCACCTCTGACCCTCCTCGGGAAATCCATCCCCGAGTCCCTCGAGCAGGCGAGGCCACGTCTGCGGGGCCCGGGGCAGGACGTGGCACCCTCGGGCCGACTGTGGCAGAGAACACAGCTGGCGAAAGGCCGCAGCTCCGGGTGCTCGTCCAGGTGCTCGGCCGACCCCAGGCCGGAGCCGGCACGGCGAGCCTGGTGGGCATGCGCGCGCGTGGGCATGGGCAGCGCTGCTGTCGCCATGCCATGAGGGCCCTGGCCACCAGCTCCAGGGCATCGAGCTGCCCCCCCCCCCCGCCCCCAGGCTGTCACGGCAAACTTGATGTAAACGGAGACTGACTTCCTACTCATCGCCATCTCGCGGGGACAGTAGGGTCCTGTGCTGGGGACGCACGTTGACATGACCAGGCGCCTATGGCAGGACAGCTGGGCCCCTCCGCTCGCAGCTGACGCGGACAAAGCTGCTGTCAGGGTCGCGGAGCTCGTCACTACTCCTGGGGACGGTCCGGAGGGCCATGCGGGGCCGCACCGTTTGCAGGGGCGGGCACGTCCCTCCCTGTGCCCACCGGCACCGTGAGGGCTTTGCCGCCCCGGCTCCTGGCAGCACTTGCTGCTCTTGCCGTTTCTTCCCGCCGCCTCTCCGATGCGGTGCAGACGGTCCGCAGGCGGCCAGGGAGACACCGGGGCACCTGGGCGTGCGCAGCAGCGACTCCGGGGCCCCATGGCGCAGGGGGAGGGGTCTGTCCCAACCACGCAGGCGGAAGGGAGGGGTGCGGGGGGCAGGGTTGTCCCATCCACACGGACTGAAGGGAGGGGGCACAGAGGGCAGGGGTGGGGGAGCTCGGGCTCAGGGGGTGTTTTCTGGAACCCAGCACCCCAGGGACCCAAAGCTGCCCCACGTCCCCGCTGGGAAGAGGGTTATTTTGTTTGAGGCAAATCATTCTTGGAGACTGACATTGTTTTTCCAATAATCTGACACAGGTTCACTGTGGGGATTCTCGTTTGCAACACGTTTTCCCAAGCCGGCCGTGTGCACGATGGCATCTCTGAATAAACAAGGGAACGACACACTCAAGCCAACAACAGACGAGTCACACTGGTGCCCCAGGCAAAGCGGGGGCAGAAGGGTAGCGCCCGGCTCAGCTGGGGCGCACCTTTCTGCGAGCAGGTTCTCAGAGGCGTCGGCCCAGCCGGCCGGGACCAGGCGCCCTGTTGGCGGGAAGGAGACCCCTTCTCCGCAGCTGCCCAGCCGCCAACGAGCTGTTTAGACCAGCGGAGCCTGACCTTGCCAGATCCGGGACTCCCACTAAGTCCCCACAAACCCCCGTTAGCACCCACTTGTCACGGCCCCTCTTCTGTCCCCACCCACAGCTGAGCCCGAGTGCTTCTCCACAGCAGGCGTCCGCGGCAGCCTCTCACACCAGCCGCCCCAGAGTAAAAATGTTCACCCTAAGGTCAAGACAGCCTAAGTCATAAACAAGTGGACTTGCAGTCATAACAGGGACGGAGCAGAGGAGCCGGGCCGCATCCCTGGCGGCGTGGTGGACCCCCGTGGCCAGCCGCGGCCACCCCCGCAGGACTGCCAGCTCCCAGCCGCCCAGGGGGTAGGTGCCCTGTGGAACCTCGGCTTTTGTCCCCTGCCTCCGCCCACTGCCTGTCAGCCTCTCTGGAGGCAGGGAGCCCCTAGTTCTAGCTGCCACGCTTACCCCCACCCAGGGCTGAAAGCAGCCCCCACTGTGTTTTCTGTGCCCAGTCCCGCAGGGCAGGTCTCGGTAGCGGAACGGAACGGCTGCTTGATGCCCACGTTGTCCGGGTCACCTGTGCTTACTGGTAAGGACGAGGAGCACAGGGACACTGGGCCTTGGTGGCAATTTTTCATGCATGAGCTTGTTATCACTGAGGAGCCAGGGAAGGAGGTGAACAAGCGTCATTGTCCTTTCTTACGGGTTCAGGGGCGGTGGCTTCCTGAATATCCCGTCACTTGGGGCAGAGCCGGACACACACCCAGGTTCTCCAAGCTCAGGGCCCGAGTCCCCAGGGTGTGCGGCTGGTGCTGGGTGAGCTGGGTCAGGGGCCTCGGGAAGCCGGCCCCTGGGGTCCGGAAGCCGGTTAGCGGCCTCCAGGGAGAAGGGCTGTGCTCAGGCCCCCTTAGTGGAAGATGCCCCCTCCTCGCCCCTGCAGCTCTGCCCGTTAATCCACCCTGACCTATTTCCACCCCTTTGTGCACCTTCACACCCTCAAGCACCTAATGAAAACCAATAAAAAGTGCTTAGGGCTCAAATCCCTCCGATGCGGGTATCTGGTCCGTGTAGCTCGGCAAACAGCTCGGTTCCTGCTGTGTGCCCAGCTCTGGATTTCTGCACTCTTAAAAGTTATTTGACGAAATTTAAGAAAATGGTAAGATGAAATTACCCACTTGGAGGCTGAAAGGTGGAATTTACTTACAGAATCAAGTCCTTAATCTCTGCTTTTGTGAAGAGCACGCGCCCCCCTCCCCCACGAGGCCGCATCTCAGCTCGCTGGTGGGCAAGGCCCGGCACAGGCTGCCTCCCCGGACACTCGGGGTGGAGCGAGCCAGTGACGGCCGCAGGTCCCTGCAGCAGGAGCTGGGGCA